TAAATAAACAGTAGGTAGTAAACAAGCTATAATAATAATAATAATAATAATAATAATAATAATAATAATAGTAATTATATCAATTTAAATATAAATGTTGAAAATAAAATACATATAAGATTCCCTTAATAAAAATACCTTTTTTTACTTTTTGATACAAAAAATACTTTTACTCACCCTGCTGTTTTCAATAAGCTGAATATGTAAAATTCAATAAAAGTTTACTCAAATCTGTCAAGTCTAATTATAAGTTATTTTGGAATTTTATATAACTTTTTAAAATTTTTAAATTCAATGTAGTTATAGTCCTATAAATAAATTGAATTCTTCCTGAAAATAAGAAAAGAAATGTGTCCACAATTCATCGTTATCTAATCAAGTTCAATATTAAATAAAATGTGTATAAAAAATCAACGTGATAAAGGGAAAGAAAAACAAGTTAATTGGAAAGTCCAATTTAAAAGATATAAAAGAGGGAAAACAATGCGAATCAAGTGAATATGAAATCAAAAAAGCTGAAATAGAGGACAGGCAAAAAATCATAATGAAATCAAATGTTTTGTCTTCGGTAAAGGGTATAAACAGGAACTGAATCATATCACATTATTCCGTGAGTTAATGCTTGAAATATTTTAATATGATTTTAAATTTACTAAAATATGCAACTTAGTCGTTTATAATTCTCTCACTATATGCAATTTGGTTAAAAAAGCTTCCGGACACTATCGAAGAATAACATTAACAACCGGTGATACATTTGAATTTCCGATCTTAGCCGACCTTTGCGGTTCTAGTTTGGACTGTACCGCCAATTTTCAATTACTAAAGCGGCAGGTGCATGATGATAGTATTTAGAAAACTATAATATAAGAAATATTTTCACTGACTGCTAACTTTAAACTGAATGCTGTTTGACGTAAAATGATGGTTGAAAAGGAGAAATCTGTATCTTACATCATGATGATATTTAGGAAGTATGAAAGATTGTATTGTCATAAAAAAATAACTTTATTTAATTTTCAAAACATTTAAATTGAAGTCGAAAATAAGGAATAGGAGTGAACCCAAAACAAAAAAATACTGTTTTCAGTTTCAAACAAGTTTCGTTCCATTTCAAACCATTTATAGTGATTATACTTACTTTAGAATATAAATATTATCTATGTAGTAGAATTAGTTCTAGATTATGAAGATTAAAAAGTAAAGTTAGGAATAAAAGGATATGTTTATAAGTATTTAAAGTGAAATCATTGAATGGGGGTCATCATGGAGAGTAGATACCATGTGGGTGAGGGGGGGGGGTGTATCAAGGATTGTAGTGTAGGAGTGTAAAAAGGGGCAGGGGGGAGCATGGAGTTGGACAGAGTAAATGAGAAGAAAGGGGAAAGGGGGATTGCATGGGGGCAATAAGGATGAGGAAGTCTAAGTGTAGGGTGGGGGGGCGGGGGGGAGGAGAGGAGTGTGTTTAGAATGGTGTTAGTGGAAGGTAAAACCAGAAGCATTACAAGCATAAATCCACCAGTACTAAGTACATTGTACACTGTACGGGACCGTCAACCTGTGAGCATAACCCGGTGAAATCCACGAAATTATATGTTCTACAATACAAATATCCGAATCAGGTTCAGTACTTGAGAAAGAGAAAAAAACATATGTAATTCAAAGTTTAACGGAATTTATTATCATTTATTTATTCGATTAATATTCATTAACACTAAAACTATGTTTAAATGTTAAAACAGGCCAAGGAAAAAAATCAAAATTAACTCGGTTTTTTTTTCATAAAAAAGTAGGTTAATTAATCGTAAATGGTCAACATTTGTCACTTAAAACTCCTAAAACTAAATTAAATTACGTTAATAAAGTTTCTTTTGACGATATAGTTGGTCAAAGGTTAAACCAACCCAGATCGGATATAAACAAGATGGAACCCACTTTTCAGTAAATAAATAAATAATACATAATTCTTTAACAAGCATGTTTCAAGATATTGCAGGATATGCATGAAGGATACAATTGTATCTTAAATCCCAAACTAGGAAGATTGAAAGAAGATGACTTATTGTCTTAAAAAGTCAAAAATCAAAGACGACTTTCAAATCGTCTTGCTACTATTTCTATGGACACCCTGTATATTTATATATAATAGAAACTGGTATTGAAATACTAAAAGAAAAATAATAACATGCCGTGCATATATTACTTTAATTATGTATTATATTGTCCAATTCAAACTAAAGTAAATTTCACGTAATCTGTTACGTTCTCAATTATATATAACTCCTTTTATTAAAGAGCTTATATTGTCTAAGAAGAAACATAAAAATGTTTGTATTTCTCATACGAAACCAAATAAGTTTGCTTTTCTTATGCTTGCGCATAACATAAGTACTATGGTATATGCCTTGCATCTACAGGGTGTCCCACGAAACATGACAATAGCAAGACGACTTGAAAGTCGTCTTTGATATTTGAATTTATTTGTGACATTTAGTCTTCTATCTACTTTAACATGTATGATTCTTGAAACAATTATCACATAATTTTCCTAGCCCTGGCATTTCCAAAAAGTGGTCTGCGTTTTTTGTGCTTTCAATATTACCGGAGATATAAAGAGTTTGGTTCAGATTTCAATTTTGTTAAATAAAAGCAAAATTGTCGATATCTGAACAAAATTGTTCATATCTCGGGCAATATTGAAAGCACAAAAAATACAGACCACATTTTGGAAATGGCAGGACTAGGAGAATTTTGTGATTAATATCCTAAAATTAGGTTGACAAATAAACGCAGCAAATTATATCAAAAATCAAGACGACATTCAAGTCGTCTTGCATACTGTCATGTTTCGTGGGACACCCTGTATGTTACAGCTATTCAATATGTGTTAGATGTGTTCTTCCAAGCATAACGTTCACACAGTACAAACAGTAATTATGTTTAGCGTACACTATCTTAGTTTTCTTTTTACACTGAGTTCACACAGTACAAACATTAATTATGTTTAGTGTACACTATCTTAGTTTTCTTTTTACACTGAGTTTATACAGTGCAAATTGTGTTTCCTTTATCGTACTATAATTGTATTACATGTATACAAGTTTCAAATTGGGGTTGTTTGAGTACAGAACAAAATAATTCAGAAGATAGAGAGATAAGATAATTTTAAAGTTATATACTCCTAGAAACACTGTTAAAAGAAGTATTTTAATCTTCGTAATTTTAACCTTATTCCTACTGACGTCTCCTCTACCCAAAATACCCTGGACCCCCTCCCTTTTTTCTTATTGTGACACTGATCTATAATATTTCACACTGCAGTTTCAGAAAGTCATAAGACTTTACTTTAATAATCTGAAGAAAAAAAAAGTTTGCAAATAACCATATATTTCTTGCGAAATTCAGTAAATTAGCAAATAAGTGCAAAATCTAAAATGTCCCAGCAAATTCAAATATGCAAGTTTCTGGTTTCCGTGCAAAAGGCTATGAAAGATTCCTTCCTAGTCATATGGCTATTCAGAGAGCTATAAAATGTTAAATTCCAATGACTTGAAGTAGGTCTTTAAGTGTGTTATACATAGGTAAAATTATAAGTAAAATTATAAATACTTTTCTCCGAGAAGGGGTATCCAGGCCCCCCAACCCACCGGACCCTTCATATTTAACTTTAATAATAGTTAAGAAAAAACATGAATATCTTTTTAATTTTTGATCAGATAAAGCTACTTAGGGCACCGTTGTAAATCGGACATTCCACTCTTTTTAAATAAAGAATTGCTTGAAATTACGTTTACAGACTCTTTATGCAAGGAGGAATAGAACTAAGGATGGGGTAGGGAAGGGAGGAGGAATAGAACTAAGGATGGGGTATGGATTGTTTACGTGTGTATTATGTGTCATATTAAAACTAAAAAAGAAAATTAACAAAATTTCTTGGCATCATACGTCAGAAATGTAAAGCAAAATATGAAATAGAAACACTTAGACAACTAGATGTATATTAGAGTGTATATTTAATGTTCCTTGGTCTATGCTGCTAATCAGGGGCGGATATAAGGATTCTGTAGGGGGGGGTAAAAATTATAAATTTGGCGCGCGAAGCGCGCCGAAATTTTTTTTACCCCCCCCTAGAAATTTTTTTACCCCCCCCTAGAAAAATATCATGATGTATATCAAATTATTGGTTATAATTGGGTTTGATTTGCAATTTCCACTCATTTCTGGGATTTACAAACTCAATCTAATAAAGGCTTCATTACATACCTTTCAGCTTTCACCTTGTTTTATACCCTTCATGATAGTCATCCATTTTACATTAACTACAAAGATCTGTAAAAAAACTGAATTTATTTAATTTTAACTAAACTTTTTATTTTAANCCAGGATTCTAGGGGGGGGTATTTATCCCCAGGATTCTAGGGGGGGGTAAATAACCCCAATAACCCCCCTTATATCCGCCACTGCTGCTAATATTCAATTCTAAAATCTTTAAAGCTTCCCTGTATAGTAAAAATCAATTGCAGTAAGTACATTGTACATTGCACATAAATACCCTTTGTAATAAATAAACTAATCTAATGTGCAAGAATTCTAATTATTATGTTTAAATATTTTTTTCAGAAAAACTAGAATTTGAGATGGTTCGAAGACGACTTTCTCTTAATCTTTTGGTCTATTCGCTGATCTCAAGTATTAGCCTCATGGTGTACTTGCAGCGCAACTCCGTCAAGATCCATAACTACACATTCAACATAATTAACCTTGTCAATAATATCAAGGTGCACAAAAATCTTACAGAGTGTCCCTTATCATATTTATGATCTCTAAACTTGAACGCCAAATTATGTTTAAAATACTTAGAGAAACGACTATTTTCAGCATGCAAATTTTAATTTTAACCATGCAAAACATTTTGAATAATCTAATATTTTAAAATTTTCTGATTAATCTTTGAAATCCAAAATTAGAGTATGCACGGTCAAATTTAATATTGGATACCCTGTAGTAAGGAATTTTCTAAGTTTAAATGGTAAATAGTTTTGAATGTCTTCTTCCATTATTCGTTAAGTTGTTTAATACCAAAGACAATAAAAAATTATTATATGCAGTCATAATATAGTAAAATTAACTTCACAAAGTAAAATATATTTGGGCAAAATATATTTTAAACGAAATAAACTGCAAACCGCCTTTAATATAAAATACAGTGTATTAAAGACGACATTCTACCAACAGTCATGTTTCGTCGGGCACATGCACCTTACACAATCAATTCAAGCAATAAAATTTCAATTCTGTTTCATATATATTAGTAAAGACAACCAGTTAACGACTGAACTCCAAATAAATACTCTAAAATGATATATGTTTTCATATTTAAGGCTTACCCCGACAGAGGCTATATACACAAACTAGAAAAACTTTTCAGGTATAATTTTTTTTAGAATTAGAATAGTAGAATAGAACACGGAAACTTAGTTCTCCATTTTTCTAAAAACGAGTAAGAAAAAGACTGAATTCGTAAAAAAAAAATTTTTTTTTGACTTAACCATTGTATATCATGTGTGGCACAATTATATTGAAGTTAGACAGACACTAACTAGTAATATATTTAAATAAAGTAGAAGCGATTTTATCAATACAATGAAGACGACTTTCTGTTAATGGTGCTTTGATCCCTAAGGAGCATTTTTGAAATTGTAAGTTTACAAGAAAACAAACATAAGCTGTGATGTTCACAACTTTTTTTTGTTTAAATGGTCAAGTGTTTCTGCGCTGTTCTAGGGCTTGGCATAAATTAAAATTGAAATTAGAAATCACCATGATTGTATTGATATTTACTACGATGACTGTGCCTTACCTAACTAAAATGTACTTTATGTACACTTTACAGTGGTTTTCTGGTTCCTTGCAGTTCAGTACAATCCTATCAACATACGCAAGGGAATAAAAGTACAATTTAATCCTTAAAACAAAAGGTTTTTTTAAATCTACAAAAGTATTCCAAGCCGATTGTGTATACGTGATATGTCTTTGGTAATTTTTTTGAAATGTCGTCTTTAACTAACAGTTTGGAATCACAATAAATTTTTATTATTGTTAGAAAATTTGTTTGATCTTGAAATGATAACCTTGATCAATCTTAAACAAAAAGTAAAAAAAATTATTTTATATTGATATTAATTTTTTATAACTTTAACACTTTGAAATAAAAAGGAGAAGCGATAAACTTAGGACTTGTTCTTATTAATACAGGACTTCCGAGTACTAGTCCAGATTTCAGGTTAGTTTTTAAGTTTAGTGGAAGATGTACTTAGGACTTCTTTAAATAAATAAGGTTCAAGAGTATTCCAAGGAAACTGATTAATCGCCATCCATTCTCTTTTTCTTTTTTTTCAACCTGATTGATCTAATAGAGTTTATAGTTTGAATAATCAAAGGTCTGCAATATCAGGTTACATAGATATAGGAATTAGAAAATTAGAATTTTTAAGTTTATTTCAGGTTAATTAATTAATGCATAAATATAGCCATAATCTAAATCAACTCAAGTCAAAGGAATTGAGTCTTTGCCACAAACTCTGATTTTCTAATCCCAATATCTTTATAACCCAATGTCTTAAACCTTTGATATTTCAAACTTATATTATTTGATCTAACAAAAGCCATAGTTTGAAATTTCTAAGGTTTACGACGTTGGAATCCAAAGATATAGGGATTAGAAAATCAGAGTTTGTGGCAAAACCTCAATTCCTTTGCGAACTTCTGCAACATCAGGATGCAGAGGTAAAAATGTGAAAGATTATTGTGCAAATTTTCTTGCAATTTACGCACCAGAGTCATATTAAAAAGATTCTATTTTAGGTCGGATGAGTTTGTTTATAAATCAGTCCGTAATCTGAAAGGTATCCTTGCACTAACTGGAGACAGACCAATTCATTTTATTATAGGTAAAGTACAGATTTTTAGGCAAAGTAGATATGTTGCCATGAAAAAAAAACATGTAAAAATTCAAAATATTTATTTTTTGTAAGAAAATGGCTGCATTCTTGGCATTGGCATTCTTAATATATTTTGTCAGCTTAAAAACGAAGTTATCTTTCTCAATGCATTGTTAATCGGCAAAGAAAGGGTACCGTTGTGAATTAGGCATGTAACGCATTTAAATTAGGCTAAATTGAAATTACGCCTATATTCCCTTTAAGAAGTCTCAATTTTTTAACCTAGCATTGACAGCTTGAGAAGAAATGGTAGAGTTAGAAAAAAATTCTGTGTTTAATGTTTTTTAAGGGACTGTCTCTGTAATTTTAAGTGACCCTTTATTCAAATATGGATATTTACGTTTACAGTCCCTTTAAACCTATTCTTGTGAAATAAAAATAAACCTATTTAGTGACTAACCCCAGTAGTGGAAGTTGGGCTGGACAGATAATAAGTTATTGTATCACAAGAAGATTATCCCTGGACATTATCCAGGTAATACATCGGAGATCAGTTTTAATGAACAGTCAAACGTAGTTGAGTTGAACCAGGCATACTTGGTGAACTTTTCTTCAACTTGAATCGGAGCACATGACATGATGAGATGTGGTTTAAATACTTCAACTTCTTGCAATTCAAGAGACCTGGTCCTCGATTAAGTTTTTCAAATCATCAATTTATCTTTTTTACAATATCACATTTTTAAGATTGATAGGAAATGTAATTTAATATTTTCTTACTTCATATTTATTTTTACAGGAAAGATGGTTCAGATGGAGAAATAAAGATAGATTACCACCTTTAAAATTTAGTTTAGGTAGGTTTATCATTGCACTCTCAACTAAGCTTTGTTTGCGTACTGCAGTAACCTGCAATGCACGAACCGAAGATATAGCATTGTTTAGTGGAGAGTGATTGGTTAAGTGTTTTTGAATGGGTTTCCTTCATAAACTCATCTCCGTATAAAAGTTCTCCAAATTCACCCCCTCCCTCACTCCCCCCTCACCCCCTCCTTCACACCCTCCCTAGTCCCCTCCCTCACCCCCTACCAATTACCCATCTTCTTTTAAACACATGAAATGCCTTCTTTAAAAAAAACTATAACAAAGAAATAAATAAAAATGTTTTGTTATTGTTTAGTTGACTCTGAAGAGATTTTAAATCTGAATCCAGATTTTATCCAAGGATTATTTGATAATAGAGAACCATCAACAGCTGAGGTATTTACTACAGTGGGACTTAGAAACCAGAAACCGGTGGAATATGAAGATATCATTTAAGTAACTTTGCGTAGTTATTGTTGCTATAGAGCTAATAGTTTTTTAGAATCCTAACTGCCTATTCCACAATTTTAACATTTTTGATTTCATTCTTTTCAACCTGATCATTAGGGAGCTATCGTTATATATGAAAATCATATTGAAATTATAATTCAAATAGAACTATTTTATCAATCTAAAATATTTTCTAAAAGTACCTAGAAAAAAAAACATTACAAATATTGACCAAGTGGGGCAACAAATTTTTAGAAAATATTCCGATACCTAACATACGATTCAAATGACGCCATAGTTACAATAGGTTCCTTAAACCTAAATAAATATTTAGAAGAACAAGTATTCCTCCACCTTGTTCTATGTTGCTCCTTTGTATCACCTGGCGTTTAAATCTCTAGAAAAACTGCTCGTCATAGATTCATCAGACCTAGAGTTCCTTGTAGATATTGCAGGTATAGACATTAAATATATATAAATTACAAGTTTTTATTTCGAAATGTTAGAATCACAACTTAATCTCTCTTTTCCTTGAACCCCACCATTTATTATCCTAAAATTTTCTTAAGTATTAAGATATAGATATCTTTTACCTTTTAAAGTTGGTTTTATTTATAGTAAATTACATTTATGTAATGATTTTACATTGCATTTAAAGTTTCTAATATATCTTTGGAAAATACAATAAACACACTTTAGATCAACTTACGAGTCTCTACAGGAGTTGACTAGCGGGTTCACAACGCGTACGGTACTCTACAAACCTTTAAATAAGCAGAAAAAGGATATTTAGGAAAATTGACAATTCTCAATTTCGCGGTTTCTCTATAAACATAAGTGATTTGTGAACTTACAGATTTAGTCTCTTTTTAAGATTCAGAGGGTACAGTTGTGAATCGTTCATTTGACTCTTAAAAGAAGGGTTTTCTTTGTTTAAAGTTGTATGATGAGTTTAATGAACTGTAAAAGGATAAGAAGAGTTATTTTTTTTTAGAGTTGTATGATGAGTTTAATGAACTGGAGAAGGATAAGAAGGCTATCATGTCATTAGGCTAGACAACTAGAATTAAAATATATCAATATTACAATTAAGAAGAACCGTTTTGACTAATCTTTGTAAAAACATCTTTAGGTAAACCTAACATTTAGTTATCATTATCTTTTATTGTTTTCTACGCTAAAAGGTTTGGATCTAGCGCCTCACTACTATAACCAGTTGGGGAAGTATAGGTAAATTTAAATATAATATAAATATGAAAATCAGAAAATACATTTTATTTTATTTTAGACGCATTCATCCAAACACGGAGATCGGAAAACCAGGAAGGTTTCAGGTAATTTAGGTTTATCAATCAGGTTTAAAATAAATCAGTTTGAATGAGCACTTGCATCAATTCTAAATTTTCTAATTTATCTTTGCAAGTTGATGTAGCAAACCTTGACTTTTTAATCTAGCAGAATTCTTAATTTAAAATATCAGGTGGCAAAGATATCTGTATTTGAAAAATTGAGAAAGCAATTCGAGTTACTTTGAAAAATTTTAGATAACATTTTGGAGAAATTTTGAAAATTTTAAATGAATTGAGGCTTTGACATATAAACCCTGATTTTATAATTCCTATATCTTTGTAACTTGATCTCGTATAATTTTGAAACTATGAATTCTGTTAGATCAAATAATCTAAGTTTTAAATATCAAAAGTTTACACCATCAGATTAAAAAGATATAGAGATTAGAAAATTTGTGTTTGTGGCAAAGACTAAATATCATGGCTTCTAGTAAAACAAGATGTGACAGATTTAAGAGTAAATATCAAAGATTCTGACTCTTATGTTGGGGGCATTTCCGTAAAAAAGAGTAAACCAGCCAGAGATAGATTTCTCTCAATCAGAAATATTATATATGAATAAGGTAGATATATTTAATGGAAGTTTTCTTAAATGGTAAAATTTTGGTTCTTCATGAAATGAATTGAATTGAATTTGATATGGTAGGAGAGTCGACTCCTACTTAAGTGAACGATGATTGGTCTAAAAATAAATACAACTAACTTGGAAACCCAGGAAATTAAACTTTCTCTATAAAAGTGAACCCACTTAACTTATTTATATGCAAAATTTAGTTCATTCCCGTGGGTTTACCTAGTTTCCCAATCAAAATTTGAGCCAAGTCGGTCAAAGGGTGCATGAGCTATTTCGGACACACAAGCAAAAGAGTAGAGATTTCTACTTTATATATTAAATAACAATAATATATTTGAGCAGGGATTCAACACCGGAGTAGTTCTCTACAGGCTAGATAGGATGAGAGAAAGTGAAATCTACAATAAGTTCCTTTCATCAGACAGGGTTTCCTTTCTTACCAAAAAGTAATTTTTACAATTAGTTCCTTTCATCAGACAGAGTTTCCTTTTTTACAACAAAGTAATTTATACAATAAGTTCCTTGCAGACAGGGTTTCCTTTCTTACAACAAAGTAGTTTATACAATAAGCTACTTTCTTCTTTCTTACAATAAAGTAGTTTACAATAAGCTACTTTCTTCTTTCTTACAATAAAGTAATTTTTACAATAATTTACTTTCATCAGACAGGGTTTCCTTTTTTACAATAAAGTAGTTTATACAAAAAGCTACTTTCTTCTTTCTTACAATAAAGTAGTTAATACAATAAGCTATTTTCTTCTTTCTTACAATAAAGTAATTTTTACAATAATTTACTTTCATCAGACAGGGTTTCCTTTCTTACAATAAAGTATTTAACATTAAGTTTCTTTGATAAGACAGAGTTTCCTACCATGTAACAAAATAATTTTTACAATTTGGGTTCCTGTCATGAGACAGGGTTTCCTTTCAATTACAATAAAGTAAACTAGACGTTATTTCAAGTGACCCTCCATTTAAGGAGGGACATGTATGATTCACAACGCTATACTCTTCAAAAAGGAACAATATATTCTTTTTTTTAACTTGGAAATGGTTTCTCTATGAAAGTAACTTTTGTTAGAAACAAGGGATAAATGGTCAGAATTAAACATGATTGTTGTAAATGGGTACGAGTCACTCGAAAATACAACAACAGTCCCTTATAAGGAAATATTTTTTTAAGGTTTATGTATAAAATAAGTTTAGCAGAGCAAGATTTTTTCACAAACCTGGGATTTATTCATCCTGAACTTTTCAATATTCTTCCTTGTACTTTCAACAAACAGGAATCTATTCAGGTTAGAAGCAGGGGGGGGGGAGGGCGAAACTGATTTTTATTGATATTTATTTTTATTAATAGCAAAGCAATTATCGTCTACCCTAACATTTGCATTTATTTTTGAGCTTTAATTGCATTTTAGATTCACCATTTGATGATATAGTTGATCTTTTATACGTTTTCGGTATCTTGTTAGCTCCTCCATTAAAATATATATAATTGATCTTCAATAATATTTAATAGTATCTGGCGCCACTATTTGAGGATATACTTAATTTTTAATAATAGTATCTAGCGCAACCATTTGAGGATATATTTGATCTTTAATAATATTTTAGTATCTAGCGCCACCATTTGAGGATATATTTGATCTTTAATCATATTTCAGTATCTAGCGCCACCATTTGAGGATATGTTGATCTTTAATTATATTTCAGTATCTAGCGCCACCATTTGAGGATATATTTGATCTTCAATTATATTTTAGTATCTAGCGCCACACTTTGAGAATATATTTGAGCTTAACTATATTTTAATATCTAGCGCCACCATTTGAGGATATATTTGATCTTTAATAATATTTTAGTATCTGGGGCAATCATTTGAGGATATATTTGATCTTTAATTATATTTTAGTATCTAGCGCCACTATTTGAGGATATATTTGATCTTCAATTATATTTTAGTATCTAGCGCCACCCTTTGAGGAAATATTTGATCTTTACCATGATTGTAAAGAAAAAAAGGATGTTAAGGTAAATTACAAATTCTTACAATAATGACTTTGAGGAACTGTCGTTGTAATTTCATATAATTTCAGCGGCATGCCCAATTCACCATGGTATGAGAAAGACCATTTAAGAATGATGGCATGAAGAAGACTCTTTAAATATGGTGACGTGAAAAAGACCCTTTAAATATGGTGACATGAAAAAGACCCTTTAAATATGGTGACATGAAAAAAGACGCTTTAAATATGGTGACATGAAAAAAGACCCTTTAAATATGGTGACATGAAAAAGACCCTTTAAATATGGTGACATAAAAAAGACCCTTTAAATATGGTGACATGAAAAAAAAACCTTTCAATATGGTGACTTAAAAAAGACCCTTTAAATATGATGACATGAAAAAGACCCTTTAAATATGGTGACGTGAAAAAGACCCTTTAAATATGATGAAATAAAGTACCTTTAAATATGGTGACATGAAAAAGACCCTTTAAATATGGTGACATGAAAAAGACCCTTTAAATATGGTGACATGAAAAAAGACCCTTTAAATGTGGTGACATGAAAAAAGACTTTTTAAATATGGTGACAAGAAAAGGACCCTTTAAATATGGTGACATGAAAAAAGACGCTTTAAATATGGTGACATGAAAAAAGACCCTTTAAATATGGTGACATGAAAAAAAAACTTTCAATTTGGTGACATAAAAAAAGACCCTTTAAATATGGTGACATGAAAAAAGACTTTTTAAATATGGTGACATGAAAAAGACCCTTTAAATATGATGACATGAAAAAAGATCCTTTAAATATGGTGACATGAGAAAAGACCCTTTAAATATGGTGACATGAAAAAAAGCCCTTTAAATATGGTGACATGAAAAAAGACCCTTTAAATATGGTGACATGAAAAAAGACCCTTTAAATATGGTGACATGAAAAAAGACTTTTTAAATATGGTGACATGAAAAAGACCCTTTAAATATGGTGACATGAAAAAAGATCCTTTAAATATGATGACATGAAAAAGACCCTTTAAGTATGGTGACATGAAAAAGATCCTTTAAATATGATGATATGAAAAAGACCCTTTAAATATGGTGACAGAAAAAAGATCCTTTAAATATGATGACATGAAAAAGACCCTTTAAATATGGTGACATGAAAAAAGGACCCTTTAAATATGGTGACATGAAAAAAGACCCTTTAAATATGTTGACATGAAAAAGACTTTTAAATTTGGTGATATGAAAAAAAATTCCTTTAAATATGGTGACATGAAAAAAGACCCTTTAAATATGGTGACATGAAAAAAGACCCTTTAAATATAATGACATGGAAAAGTTTGACGATGATATAATTCTAGGTTTATCATATAAACGGTTGTGGACCAACCCTTGAGCTCTGCAAGCATCAGGTAAATCAGAGAATTTGGAAAGGAAAAAGAAATTTTTATATTTTTGCAGTTCATATTTTATGCTCCACGAAATCTGACAAATGTGTCATGCTTAAAAATTGCATGACATAGCTTTCATTCAAGTTTTATCTCACTATTCAAAATTTTTTCTTGTTCTGGCGAAATTTTGAATCAATCTATAGAAATTGTAGAGACCATTTTTGAAAATTTAAGGAATTTTTGCCGATCATTCATGACCCTCTGTAAAGCAAAAAATGGGATGAAACACAACGCACAAAATAAATTTTGTAGGATATGCCTGGAAGTCGGCTGCAGGGGGACAAAACATATCATTTCTTCCATGCTAACTTTGAGGTAATTAAAAGATTATTTCACAAAAAGATTTTTTGAAGTAGCCAACCGATTCCAGATTGCTATAAAGATTATCAAAAGGCATCTATATATAAAGTAACAACTTTTGTTTGTCTGTTTGTATGTCCGATCATAACCGATTTGCCTCAAATTTTGATTGGGAACTTGAGAGATCCACGGGAATGCTTTTAGTTTGGTTTTGAGATTCTAAGTTGAGTTGGAAAAATTGCTAAAATCGTAATACGTCGTTAAACGTTGAGTGTAACCATGAGTACCCGGGTAAAGCTGGGTTCTCAATCAAGTTTCTCATAAAGTTGTTTTCTTTAGGTGTTTTGGGAATAACGTGGTGTACTGAAACTTGATGGTATATACTTCTGTAAAGTATATCCTGGATTAAGTAAACTGGAATATTTTGGTATTGAAGAAACGGTTACTGCAGTATCATGGGATAGGGAAACTGTTACTTCAGTCACAAGGAATATACTGCTGTATCTTGGTATTTAAAACGCTTACTGGATAAAGAAATTGCTACTGAAGTAGCTTAAAATGGTAAAACTATTAGTTGAACGACTGTGAAGTAGCTGCAGCATATTGGATAACGAAACTATCACTACTACTGGAATAAGAAAGCATTTATACTACAGTCGCTTTTTGCAAAGCAACGATTTCAACTCGAGCTTGGGGGAACAAAATTGTTACTGCACATCAGTAAATCAATAACATCTTTCTAGGGGGGCTGAGCCCCCCCCCCTGAGAAAAATTAAAGCCCCCCTCCCTGAAAAATGCCTGGGTCGCAACAGTTACCTTGGTATCTAGGGAATATTGAAACGGCTACTGCGTCACCCGGATTCTTGTCAGTCATCTTCAATTGAAATCAAAATTAAAATCTAATAATCAATATTGTATATTTTAAAAAAAAATTATTTTATTTTTTTCAGATTATGTGCTTGTGTTGAAAATGAATCGAACGATTGCAATTCATAAATATTTATTGAAAACCTGCATTCTCATTACACTAATCATACTCTTGCTCACTCTACATATTCAAGTACCGGAGAAAAATCAGTTTATTAAGGATGTCAGCAACCAAATATCATTTTCTTTTAAACCCCAGGTAAACTTGTCAACACTACAGGTCGTAATCAGGTTTAACATTTCACAGATAGGACTAATTTTTAATAATTTCTTTAAAGGTCTAACAATTTTATCAAATGATTAAATTTATTAAAACAACAAACATTTTTCTCGGATTATAAGCCCGCGGCCGGGTTAATACAGCGGGATTTGCCAATATTAGAGAACTAAAACAATTTATATTTATTATTTTTAATGTCCAATCTATGCTAAACTTTTGATTTAAAAGTTTTCATTAAGAATACAAAAAGAGTTTTTACTTGAATTTTTTAAATGTTGTTCATTTTTAAAACTTCCCAAACTAAATGAACAAAAAATCAAGCAATTGAATTTAATTTTCTGTAAAAAAATGCTTTTTTTCCAGGCCAAGTTCGTTTCCTTCTTGCCACCTCACAAAATACAATCTAGGAATGAAGCATTGTACATCAAAAAACTAGAAAATCTGGAAAGGTGAGAAATTTATATATTTATTAATTTGGTTTTTTAAACTTTTTATTTTGTTATCATTATTTCATTGTTTTCAGAAATAATATTTTTGATTTTTCTATTTTGAGGTTTTAGCCATTATTCTGAATTGAAAAAAAATTTTCTCAATTGATGATTTACGATTAAAATGTAATATTTAGAGGAGTGTTGATCCCCCCTGAGGATGTATATACCCCTGTACCTGGAGCTATAAACCTTGGTTTAGTTATTGTAAAAATAGATAATTATGAAGGAAACAAAACTCTTGACGAAGAGTCATTTAGGTAACCTTAAAATAAACACGTTTATATTCCTTAAAAACAACAATTTCTGAGAATAGTTTAAAACGCTTTTAAGTTGTATTATAGCACGTTTTCACTTTTAAGTTATATTATAACACGTTTTCACTTTTAAGTTGTATTATGGCACGTTTTCACTTTTAAGTTGTATTATAGCACGTTACACTTTTAAGTTTTTTTATAGCACGTTTTCACTTTTAAGTTGTATTATAACACGTTTTCACTTTAAGTTGTAATATAGCACGTTTTCACTTCTAAGTTGTATTATAGCACGTTTTTACTTTTAAGTTGTATTATACATAGCAGTTTTCACTTTTAAGTTGTATTATAGCACGTTTTCACTTTAAGTTATATTATAACACGTTTTCACTTTTAAGTTGTATTATAGCACGTTTTCACTTTTGAATAGTGTTTATTTTGTTGTCCTTCCATGAACAACAAGTTGTTCGTTGAAAACTTTTGATTTGTGAATCTTTTTATTTTTTCAATTTAACTTCAAAATTTAAGAACGTTGCCGACAGCTCACTTAGTTCAATTTATGATTAAATATTTCATCCTTAGATATGGCTTTGTATATAAAGTGATGCGCACAATGAATCAATTACTGCAAAGAGCTGGTCCAACACCCATTCATTTTATCATAGGTTAGTTATTCAAACAAATATAACTTTTGTACTTTTGTAAAAATTTCAATATAAACTAGTCAGCACTAAAATTTTGGAATAAGAAAATCTTCATCTCCATTCATGTATTCATTTCGGGTTTTTTTAACAATTGCTTTGTATTCATTTTATTTTTCAAAGGAATTAAAATATGTCTACAAAAAAAATTTTAAGAAAGCTGAAAAAAATTTAATTAAAGAAAGTAAAAAAAAAATTGTAAAGAAAGTCGAAAAAATGTAATTGTAAAAGTCTTTTTTGTCTTTTTAAATTATTTTTATGCGCTTTTCTAAATTAGTGACTGATGTTAAAAGTTCAAGCTGGGCTGGAAGAATAGTTAGAACAACAATATCTCAACGCCTAGCTTTAGATATCATTCAGGTTAGTTTTTGGGAATCTATTTTTTTAAACTATATTTATATTTTTTCCAGTTCATATGTTCATAGATGCGGTAAAAATGTGTATGTATCTTATAGCATGTTTCTTCGTATAATTGCAAAAGAATTTTGAAAATCTTGAATTACGAAAATTTAATAAAAATAGTCATCTTGTATTTAAAAGCTTTCATTGAAATTTCTTTTTAGCAATTGAGAAAAAAATGTCTTGAATAATTTAGTTATTTTATAGACTAGATACTTCCAATGGAGAAAAATGCCGTCTCTTCCTCCTCTATACTTTAGTCTGGGTAAGCAGACAACATTTTCAAATCTTAATCTTGGGGAATTGTCTGTTGCTGTATTCTGGGATTGTTGATATATTTTAGAAAGTCAGTTTGAGGTAAAGTATCTTTAAAAATGTAATATCCTTTAAAACTTTTTTACGTATCGAATTTGGAGCTCACCTTTAAATCGTGTATTTCTATAGAAAAATAAGCTAAAGCTAAAATGTGTCTAGGAGAAGAAACGTCGATTTCTCAGTCTTCATTTAACAGAAATGTTTAGAGAACATTTTTGTGAATGGTGTAATTAGAACATTTTTATTTAATTTCTTTTCTCTACGTTGGCAAATTAAATTGTCTGAAATGGGTGGACTAAGACTTTTCAATTATTTAAGCAAAATTATCATAAATCTATTTAAGTTCTTATATTTCAAAGCACTTTTAAAATCACAAGAGTGGGAATTTTTTGTGTCCTAGATCTGTGTTTTCAGCGTTCAGAAGTTTTATTTGTGATATTGAGTGATATTCGCTTTACCTAAACAGCTATCAATATATCGGAATTAAAATGATGGTTTAGTGGATTCAGGAGAGATTCTGAAACTGAATCCTGTATTTAATATGATCTTGGTTTAGTGGATTCAGGAGAGATTCTGAAACTGAATCTCGGATTTAATATTATCATTGTTGAGTGGATTCAGGAGAGATTCTGAAAATGAATCCCGGATTTAATATTACCTGGGTTAAGTGGATTTAAGAGAGATTCTGAAACCGAATCCTGGATTTAATATTATCTTGGTTTTGTGGATTCAGGAGAGATTCTGAAACTGAATCCTGGATTTAATATTATCTTGGTTTTGTGGATTCAGGAGATTTTCGGAAACGGTATCTCGGATTTAATACTAGCTGGGTTTAGTGGATTCAGGAGAGATTCTGAAGCTGAATCCTGGATTTAATATTATCTTGGTTTAGTGGACTCAGAAGAGATTCTGAAACTGAATCCTGGATTTAATATTATCTTGGTTTAGTGGATTCAGGAGAGATTCTGAAGCTGAATCCTGGATTTGATATTATCTTGGTTTAGTGAATTTAGGAGAGATTCTGAAAGAGAATCCTGGATTTAATATTATCTTGGTTTAGTGGATTCAGGAGAGATTCGGAAACGGTATCTCGGATTTAATATTACCTGGGTTTATTGGATTTAGGAGAGATTCTGAAACTGAATCCTTGATTTAATATTATCTTGGTTTAGTGGACTCAGAAGAGATTCTGAAACTGAATCCTGGATTTAATATTATCTTGGTTTAGTGGATTCAGGAGAGATTCTGAAACTGAATCCTGGATTTAATATTATCTTGGTTTAGTGGATTCAGGAGAGATTCTGAAGCTGAATCCTGGATTTGATATTATCTTGGTTTAGTGAATTTAGGAGAGATTCTGAAAGAGAATCCTGGATTTAATATTATCTTGGTTTAGTGGATTCAGGAGAGATTCGGAAATTGAATCCTGGATTTAATATTATCTTGGTTTAGTGGATTCAGGAGAGATTCTGAAACTGAATCCTGGATTTAATCAAGGAATGAAGGAAAATCTAATGCCAACAGATAAAACGGTAAAACCTATTTGATTTTTTCTTTATATTTTAAACCTTTGTTCTGAAAACATCTTGATCTTTAAGCAATGGAGAAAAGCCTTGAAAGGACATGTGCATAGTACGTCGTACAAACATGTATTATGTATTCTATAATGTGCCAATCAAAATGAAAATTAGAATAGTAGTTGTTTTTATCTATTTTAAAAACATTTTGATGTTCGATTTTGTAAGGGGTTATAAGTGTAAAAGCTAACTTTTAAAATTTTAATTCTTTCTGTTTATTTCTTTAAGTTTTAATTGTTAAGGATAAGTACAGATCAGATTTCTACTATATAGCACCAAACTATCATAAAGCTTTCTTATCTCTGGATAGAGCAGTTTTTATTGATGCTACTGATCTTGAGTTCACAATAGATATTAAAGGTAGAAACAAATAACTATATATTTTCATTCATGTTCATATCATTTTATACATCTTAAAACTAAACAAAATTGAAATTGGTAACACTGAATAGAAAAATGTATTTACGAACCTATTGTTTTTTAAGGAAAAAATTTCGCTATTAACAACTACCATTTTCCCAATGTATGGCGTATGTGGTTCAAAAGAAATTGTAAGTTTTCAATTTTGGTTTGAAAAATTTCATTAGTTTAGAATGGAGATATTGCTGAAAATGTTAAATACCAAGACGACATTCAAGCACTTTTATGTGAAAAGTATTCTCTATTGTTGTAAAGATAAATATAGGCACTGCCCTTTGTAAAATTGCTAACCATCATTTTATTTTCACAACTTAAAAACAGAACCCGAGTTTAACGGTCGTCTTCATATTACATATTTTCAAGGGTTTTATTGATTAAAGTTTTTGGGAATTTATATTTGGGAAGTCGTCAGTTTTGAGAAGATCAATAATTGTGTCGGAAATTAATATTTTTGACTTCACTGGAATCTCCGGTTCTTTTTATATACCGGGTCGATCCTACTTTGAACCTGACAGAGCAAGCAGTACAGACACATACAAAAAATATATATGCCAAAACGGGACAGTACTCCAAATGAACGATATATATATGCCAAAACGGGACAGTACTCCAAATATATATGCCAAAACGGGACAGTACTCCAAATATATATGCCAACACGGGACAGTACTCCAAATATATATGCCAAAACGGGACAGTACTCCAAATATATATGCCAAAACGGGACAGTACTCCAAATATATATGCCAACACGGGACAGTACTCAAAATATATATGCCAAAACGGGACAGTACTCCAAATATAAATGCCAAAACGGGACAGTACTCCAAATATATATTCCAAAACGGGACAGTACTCCAAATATATATGCCAACACGGGACAGTACTCCAAATATATATGCCAACACGGGACAGTACTCCAAATATATATGCCAAAACGGGACAGTACTCCAAATATATATGCCAAAACGGGACAGTACTCCAAATATATATGCCAAAACGGGACAGTACTCCAAATATATATGCCAAAACGGGACAGTACTCCAAATAAATATGCCAAAACGGGACATTACTCCAAGTGAACGATCCATTTAAAGTGAAAATTATGTGATTTGACTACCCTTTGTCGGTTGCCACTTCTAATTTGAATTAGAATTTTCTATTACAAGTGAAATAATCATAGATTTATATATTTATTTTATTTCTAGAGCTGTATAATGAATACTATGCACTTGATCAAACTGAGGCAATAATGTCTTTAAGTTTGGATCTTGCGCCTCATTACTTCCTCTTCCTCTCAGACTACAGGAAAAAGAATCCAGGAACAGTATTCGGTCAGCCTGGTAGATACCAGGTATACAATCAACCCGGTAGATATCAAGGGTAAACAATCAACCCGTTAGATACCAGGTACACAATCAACTTGGTAGATACCAGGTATAAAATCCTACCGGTAGATACCAGGTATACAATTAACCCGGTAAAAACCAGGTACACAATCAACCCGGTAAATACCAGGTATACAATTAACCCGGTAGATACCAGGTATACAATTAACCCGGTAGATTATCAGGTATACATTAAAAAATGTTTGATATAGTATTTCTAAAAAGAGGCTGTAAAATTCATAAATTTCTAGTAACTCTTCATTTTTAGAGAAGAAGGTCCGATTCACAACGTACTTTACTGAATACTTTTTGCCTGATCACGAATTTATCTCTTTTTAAAAATCAAGCATTTTAAATTTTAGATTGCGGTTTCTCTGGTAAAGTTACTTTCGCATTTCTAGTGCAGAAACAATTGATTACGTTTTGCAACAGCAGTCCCACTCAGAAACAAATCCATTAATAAACTGAAAACTAAAAAATATAAACATATTGCAATTGATGAGTAATTAAAGGTTGACAAAAAATGTCATTTTATTTTATTTCAATAAACAAAATATTTTTCGTTTCTCTCTTAAAATATTTTCTTGGATTCCTGAGGCAACCTTATTTTTGAAATATTTTGCTTAAGACTACAATCACAAAGCTGCCCCAGCCTGTGTTTTGTGCTTTCATAAATACCGATAGGAAACTAAATAATTTTCATTTCTTCAGGAAATAAACATAGATATCCTCGATCTTTATTTTCAGGGATTTAATACTGGAGTAGTTCTCTACAGGTTTGACAGGATGAGAGAGAACGAGGTTTACAATAGTTTTCTGACAAGGGAGAAGGTTAACTTTCTTATTCAGAAGTAAGCATAAATTATGCTCTTAGGTTTTCTTCATTAGATATCGAACAAAATTGCTACATTTTTTTCCTCCGAAGTTTTAGATTTTTTTAGCGAACCAATTCTTTTTCAACTCTGATAGTTTTTGGAAGTTGAATTATCAGACATTTTTGAATTTTGCGGTCTGCAAATAATCAAACTTTGATAATTGTGATATTAATTTTGAGTTTTAATTTTCTTTCTAGGTTTGGATTCCAAATAAGTTTAGCAGAACAAGATTTTTTCACAAACCTTGGATTTATTCATCCTGAACTTTTCCATATTCTTCCTTGTACTTTCAACAAACAGGAATCTATTCAGGTTAGAAGCAGGGGGGGGGGNNAATGATAATGATAATAATAATGATAATGATAATGATAATGATAATGATAATGATAACGATAACGATAATGATAATGATAATGATAATGATGATGATAACGATAATGATAATGATAATGATAATTTTGATATTCGTGATAATTGAATTGAATTTGAATATGATTTATATTTCAAATTAAATCCTTCATTTATCCAGAATCTTCATATTTCAGTACAACGCAGCACCTTTTGAAAGTATCTTCAATGCGTACCATGACTGTGTTCCTAAAAAGGATATCAAGGTATAGGATCGTTTTTATGACAGTTTGCACTAAAAATGCGCAAAGATTTACTTCATTAAATTAAACACGTATTTACACAATTTCAATTTAAAAAAAATATATACATTTTATTCATGATTACTTTTCTTTAATAAATGAGTTTTTTAATGGAAAAGGCCGTGTGGTGCATGGTCATTAATTATTTATGAGGAAGTTAGGTACTTTTTGAATAATTTATCTATATTATAATATTATAATATTAATAATATTAATATATTATAATATAATAATATTATATAATATTAAGATATAAAAAGAAGTGTTGACTTTTCATAATAAGCAAGAAAAAAATTTAAAATTACAATTTTGTATTATTTTTTACTGTTTTCCCCTTGCGCTATAACTATTAAACGTATGGAGCACTAAAATTTTACTTTCAAATTACCGGTTTCCCAAATTCCTTTTTTTTTGAAGATTTTTCATTTGAACGGGTGCGGACCAAATCACAAGGATTGTGGGCAAAACCCAGCTCCGGGATCTAAATTCTACAATGATACAAAATCACAATTTCTACATATGGATATGCAGGTAATTGCTTATCATAGAAAATTAGTCAAACTAAATTTTGGCGACCTAAAATTGGCCTAAAATTGGCCTTAAATGCTTAGGCTGACCTGTAAAGTTGAATAAGAATATTGTAGTGTATATTCGACATCCGTGAATGTCATAAATTATTGATTATTATTAGTGTCCTTAATTATTTCTTGTTTCCTTTTTTAACATCATCATTTTTTTATCCATCTTTTTTCATCTAACTCATCCCTGGTGAATGAAGTCAGGATCGAATATAAAATTGTCAGGTATTCTGGATGAGTCAAGTGAGTTTGGCAACGAATGACTGGAAGTGGCTGGAGAGATATTATGTGGATGAATTGGAGAAGTTTAGAAAGCTCCAGACATAGCAGGCACCAGACTTAAGCATGTGCGTGATCACACAAATAAAATGTGCGTGAATTTGATTAAAAATGTTGTTTTTATCTCACATAATTAAATAAAATCTGTGAACTGCAGTTGAGCCTCAAGAAAATATTTACATGCCCAAACCTTCATCTGAGTAACAATAAGGAAGATGTCGTCGTTTCGAAATAGATACATTCTGCCAATTTTCTTCCTAGTATGGGCTGCATAGATCTGATCAATCCCATTTGTCCTAAATAAACGATTGAAAACCATAAAAAAAGAAGAGAAAACAAGGATATCTTTATCTTATCTTATCTAGGTTTTCAGAGCACTGCAGTTGTGAGAGGTTTTGATTAGAATTTTTAAAAGGAACTGAGTTTTCTAATTTGTTATTTTGTGATATTTATTGTGATATTTAAAAAAGATAATTCTTATTTTACAATATCCAAAGTATACTACATTGTGTTGCAATTAGTTATGAAGATTAGAAAATCAGAAATTTTGGCAAAAACTCAGTTCCATTGTCTCATTCCATTTTTAACCAAATTCTGTTTAACCCTAACAAAATGTGTTATTCTGTAGATAGTTTAAGATGGCGCTAATCTACAAAAAGCTATTCACAGTGACAACTTTTAATTGAAACAATTTAAACTGAGAAAAGATCTGTCTCATATTTTTGCAATATCTCATAAACCTTTAGAGATATTCAACTGAAATTAACCCCTAGCTTCGGAACACAAAATCTAAGGATTAGTGCATGTGCTTTCTTAAGAGATGAACAATATTGATAACATAATTTTTTACTTAAAGGGACATTTAGTTCATGCATGTGCAATACTCATTGGTCTGCCATAATCAATAACTTTAATATTTGAAAAATTTCTAACAGTGGGTATTGTACAGGTATTCTGGATGAACGCTGTAACAAGAGCTACGGGAAATAAAGCTTGGGAACAAAATTATTATTACGATAAACTTAAACTATTCCGCCATCTTCAGCAAGATCCTTGATAATTAAGCATATTTAACAAGATCCTTAATAATTAAGCATATTTAACAAGATCCTTGATAATTAAACATATTTAACAAGATCCTTGATAATTAAACATATTCAACAAGATCCGTGATAATTAAACATATTTAACAAGATTCTTGATAATTAAACATATTTAACAAGATCCTTGATAATTTAACATATTTAACAAGATTATTGATGACTAAACATATTTAACAAGATCCTTGATAATTAAAAATATTTATCAAGATCCTTGATAATTAAGCATATTTAACAAGATCCTTGATAATTAGACATATTTATCAAGATCTTTGATAATTAAGTAACATCGTAAAAACATGACTTTTCATTTTTATTTGCCAAGCTAAAGTTATCCTATTATCCTATATCTATTCGACTAAACCTTGTGTCTAAAAACGACTATACAATCTTTCAAAAAATTAAATGTTCATCACATTTATTGAATAACTTTGCAGTAAAAATAAAATTGTTAGTTGTATGTAAAGCCTAAAGGGGCTGTAAATTACCCTCCATGAGAAGATGGCAACTCCCGATTCACAATGGTTCTCTTAAAACCTTTATCTGATTAATGATGTTGAACATATTGTCCTTTTTTCTGGGTTTAAACGGACTGTAAATAAAAAGTAAAAGGGGTATCTCCGTCTGTATCACGTGACAATGATACTGCATTGCCGTTGGTAGGAGTTCTGATCACGTGATACAGACGTATCAATTATATTTATTTAAAAAGGAAAATTATTAAATTCAATTTTTCAGGTTCCTCTGGGATATCGTCGCTTTCAGATTGGTTGCTTATTTGCTGAATATGATCTGTTTAAAACTTAGAATCGTATACCAAACTGATAAATATAAATTTTGGTAAAATTTGACACAGTTTTATGTAAATTTCTCTAGACAGGGACATAAGATAAAAGTATAACTTTATATAGGTCTCGATCAACTCCTGAAATGCTCAGGTTTCAGATTATAACCCCTTTCATTTTTCCTTTACAGTCCCTTTCAAAGAAATTAAATTCTGATCATTCCATACGTTTTCCTGCATTAGAAATGCGTTTTTTACTTTCATTGATATCTAATTCACACCCGATCAGACAGTTTAGGATACTCTTGTGAATCCAACTTTGCCATTTTTGCATGGAGGGTCACTTGAAATTACGCTTACAGTCCCTTTAAGCTAAAATATATTTTAAATCATCCCGGCTCTTTTTAACTGCTGCACGCTTTCTATTTCATAAAAGAATAATAATAAAGATTTATGCATTTTTTTAAATATTGCAAAAAAAAGCATTATTTGTGATATGCAACGTAGTTTAATTGTAAAATGTAGACAATTCAGGGGATATTAGTTTCAAAACAAACACTTGGCCCATTTCTAACACTGAGTGTTAGAAATGGGCCAAATCTGTAAAGTTTTCTTTTTAAAGAGTATATATCTTTAAATCCAAGAGGAGTAGAACAAAATTACACCATTTATTAATAAAAAATGGCTAAAACTATTGAAACAATAAACGTCAATTTTAAACTAATAATATAAGGTGCGAGAATTAGTTTTTGATGATTTTTGATTTCATTTTCGAACATATCCCTATTTTGAAACAATTAATGGATTTCAGCTCATGTCGCGTTTTCGAAACATACCCTGGTTTTGAGACAATTACCGGATTTCAGCACATGTCGGGTTTTCGGAACATATCCTGGTTTTGAGACAATTACCGGAATAGGTTTTATCATCGACTTTTACTCTGGATATGGGCCGGGATCCCAAAAACCCAGTCTTTCAATTTGTGCCCATTTCTAACACTCAGTGTTAGTTTTGGATCTAATGTCCCCTGTAATTTGTAAATAGTCTCTAAGTTTTGATATTTTATTGAAATTGTAACAAACTATGATCAGAAAACATCTCTCAATTACTCCAAACAATAATTTTTGCCTTAATGTATTTTGGCATGTTTAATGGAGTAAAGTTTAAAAAGAACAATTCACGGAACTTCAAGCCTCTGTAAACTTTTCATTTTTAAATAATTAAAAAAGGTATCCTTTTTTCCTGTTTATATTTTTGTTAATATTTTAAACTAATAATGCGATATTTAATGATCGATTTATTTTGTTGAATTGTTTTCATGTTTTCATGTGAGGTTTTCACAAAAAAATCATAAATGGAGATGGTGGTAATGAAATTAGATTTTGAAATGAATTATGAAAGACGATGAAGAGGAATTTATTCCGAAAATTTTTTTCTCAAAAACAAAGTGTGATAGGATGGAATTTATACTTTGCCGCAAACTCTGATTTTCAGATCACTATATCTTTGCAAACCAATATTGGAGACTTAAATAACTATTAATTCTGTTAGATGAAACTACCTAATTTTGAAATATCAAAAGTTTCCATCGGAAGGTTTCAAAGATATAGAGATTTAAAAAAGTGTTGAATTTGTACCAAGATCTCAGTTACTTTCCAGTAACCATGTTAAGAAAATACTTCAAAAGAAGACGACATTAAATGTAAATGATTCCATGGGAAGACGATGGTTCAACGGATGCGGTTTAATAAAATATAAAATAAGATTTAATCAAGAAAAACAAACTTAGTAATTGATTAGTTAGCATTATATGAGAACTACAAACATATTGTTTTTTTCCTTTAATTTTCATGTATAATTACTAATTAGCCTCCACCGTGCAGTAGTTGGTCAATATTTTGTTTATGTATGATCCATGCAGATAATAAATTTGTCAGTAGAGAATGAAATAGATATTTGAATGGGTTGGATTATTTTCAGATAATGAATAATGTCAGTTATTGTGTTAGCCAAAAAGACGACATTGTTCCTTGTTGCAGCAGTTGTTTTCTACATACTACTATTTGTAACAAATACAAGGTAAAAATTATCAATCTATGGACGACTTCAAAGACATTTTAAATCCCTTTGAAGACGCAGAAAATTACATGCATCCTTTAAAATGTCGATCTTTTTATTCAATTAGATAAATTAAATTAAAGACTCATTTAAAAAGTTTTAAATTATTTTTTAATAGCAAAGATACCTTTATTCAGAAATCCTCAAAATGGCAGAGAAGACAAATACAAAAAATACGTCACATGAAGTCAAAATCCTTTAAAAGATAAATTAGAATTGTTTTGATAGTTTAACTGAAGTTATTGTTTTAGTTACAAGACAGCCTAATTCAGTACTCGCAATGTTTCTGTCCTATCTAAAGTGTATTTAATGTTTTTGATTTGATGCAACAGAATATTCTATAAAAAATAGTTTTTGTTTTATCAAAAAACAACTAATAATTATTTTTAAAAATGAGTTATAATATGTTACGCTTGTTTTAATCTATTGGAGTTAATTTTCATTCTAGTTTGTATAAACAGTAGGATCTATTTAACTGTGAAATAGAAAGACGACATTTGAGGCATCTAAATACGTATATTTCTTGTTGTTTGAAACAAATAGTTTAACCAGCAGCGAGGAAATTAACTTATTAAGAAAAATGAGTTCACAGCGGAAAGGCTGTTTTTCTTGTTAGTTTTGACCATTTTAGGTTATAACTTAAGTCTTCAGTCGTCTTCCTCTTCCACAGTTTTATGGGTCACACTGTGTTTGTTATTGACGTTTATCATGTTTGTAATAGAAATCAGTTCCGAGATATCAAAGAAAACTCATGGACGCATAATGCTAATCAGGTCATTTAAAAGATTGTATATATAACAAATTTGTCTTTCTAAGCATTTTATTATTTGTTGTATATTTTCCCTGGTAGCTACGTGATTCAATTTTTTCAGCTATCTTATTTTTGTCTTATTTATTATTTGATCTTCTTAATGCATAATGGCATCATACCCGTAGTTGCATCATACCAGGCTGTTTTAAAATTCAGAACGTTTCAAAACAACATATTTTCAACAACATATCAACTAATACCATACCAGACCAGTATAGCTTAAACATCAATTTTAGTGAAATGGGTCATTTTTCTGCACAATTGCTCTGTTTCATGTATATTGGACTTCTTAAAATCATAATCATTAAAGAAATAATTAAAAATTTGATTTTTGATTTTTAGATTGCTTACAACAAGTTTAGACAGGTGGTTCCTACAAATTCTCACCTTTATGTTGAAAAATTAGAAAAATTGCGCGGGTAGATATTTTTATATGAATAACTATTAATAATATTATTATTTTGATTCACATTTTGTTAAAAAAGAAAAATATAAAAAATAAATAAGTTTAGTTTTCTTTAATTAAATTAAATGGTTCTAGAAAAATTCGAAATATTTAATTTGGGAAAATCCGCGAACCAAATAAACTTTAAACATTGTATTGTAGCACGATATAATTAAATTGAGCTAGAAATGAGAATGAATGATAAAGTGCTTAATAGTTATATACAGAGTGGTAGCCAGAAAACAATGGAATTGGAAAACGACATTATAGCAATACTTAAGTGCTTTTGAGGTTGTTACAAAGCAAATAGTTTTATTACAAACTCATTAAACTACTAATTAAGTGAAATGGATCTGTTTACACTCCACAATTGCTGTATCTCATATGTTCATTGGACTATTTAAAGTCATAATTTAAGTCTAAAAGTCGTCTTCGTTTTCCAAAGTTTTCTGGTAATCACTGTATATCAAATTTTTTTTATTTACAGCGGAGTACTGACAAAATGTAGGGATGTGCATTCTCCAACCGTCAAGCATTTAAACACTCCGTCCATTCGCCCTCCGCTAGCATGGATCAATATAGGGATGGTTTTAGTCAACCTTAACCCTCAACCATCAACTTTACTTCAAGATCTACGGTACTTACATACAGTGATGACCACAATACTCTGGAATAGAAACACGACTTTTAGACTCAAGTTATACCTTTGAATAGTCTTATTAGCATGGGAAATAGCAGTTGTGCGCTGTAAACAGATCCATTTCACTAAATTGGTGATTTGATAATTGTCCGTAAAACTGTTTGCCTTGTACCAACATCAAATACGCTTTAGTATTGCTGTAAAGTCGTCTTACTATTCCTTTTCTTGGTTATCACTGTAGTTTTCTTTCTTTTGCAGATTTGTTTTCTTTGCCAAATCATTGAGTTTATCAATAATGGACTTATACAAGACAGATTAATCCTGAAGTATATTTCCACGAGTTGAAAGTTTTCGTTAAAGTCAAATTCTTTGTTGATAACCTAAAGTTTCTGAAGGAATTTTATTCAAAGAAAATAAGAATGTAAAATTTCAAAGTGTTTAAATAATCCAAATTATATTATTAAGAAGAACTGAATGCACATCTTAATATGAAATGCATAAACATTAACAAAATATCCTGTAGTAAGAACTGTTTAGAAGGGTTCTAGGAAGTTCAAAGTTTTAAATTTTAGTTGCATCACATTCTCATGTTTTGATACATTATGGGGTTAGAGCAGTTTAGAAGTTGCCACTTGGAAAATTCTAAATTTAGAAAAACAATTTGATCTCTGTATAGCATTGCTATTACTTATTAGTTAAATTTGTTGTTTTCTAGGTCTAAGTTTAGTTTGCAGACTAGAAACTTGAATATAATGCTGGATTATATTTTCTAGGTCTAAGTTTAGTTTGCAGATGACCAGAAACCTGAATATAATGCTGGAATATATTTTCTAGGTCTAAGTTTAGTTTGTAGACTACTAGAAACCTGAATATAATGCTGGAATATATTTTCTAGGTCTAAGTTTAGTTTGTAGACTACTAGAAACCTGAATATAATGCTGGAATATATTTTCTAGGTCTAAGTTTAGTTTGTAGACTACTAGAAACCTGAATATAATGCTGGAATATATTTTCTAGGTCTAAGTTTAGTTTGTAGACTACTAGAAACCTGAATATAATGCTGGAATATATTTTCTAGGTCTAAGTTTAGTTTGTAGACTACTAGAAACCTGAATATAATGCTGGAATATATTTTCTAGGTCTAAGTTTAGTTTGTAGACTACTAGAAACCTGAATATAATGCTGGAATATATTTTCTAGGTCTAAGTTTAGTTTGTAGACTACTAGAAACCTGAATATAATGCTGGAATATATTTTCTAGGTCTAAGTTTAGTTTGTAGACTACTAGAAACCTGAATATAATGCTGGAATATATTTTCTAGGTCTAAGTTTAGTTTGTAGACTACTAGAAACCTGAATATAATGCTGGAATATATTTTCTAGGTCTAAGTTTAGTTTGTAGACTACTAGAAACCTGAATATAATGCTGGAATATATTTTCTAGGTCTAAGTTTAGTTTGTAGACTACTAGAAACCTGAATATAATGCTGGAATATATTTTCTAGGTCTAAGTTTAGTTTGTAGACTACTAGAAACCTGAATATAATGCTGGAATATATTTTCTAGGTCTAAGTTTAGTTTGTAGACTACTAGAAACCTGAATATAATGCTGGAATATATTTTCTAGGTCTAAGTTTAGTTTGCAGACTANATTTGTTTCATTAAGTACAATATGCAGTATACATTGTTGATACAATAGTACGCATTTAGTGTTATCACGCATAAACAAAGTGATAAATTAGCAACAATCCAGAGAATAAAATGACATGCATACGACAGAGATGGTGCTTTGTGCTCATTATCTCAAGACCTCTAAATTTATACCTGTCTGCATATCTATATATATATTATCGTTGTATTCAACTCTTTGAAGCTGCGAACATCACAGCAGCTTTCGTTTTGTGCAGACCAATGATTAAGCATTACAGCTGTCATACATTTTTAAATAAATTTCAAGACGACATTTCATGCTCTCCTGCTTTGCATTCTTATATGCGAGATTGTCTGTACAAGGTTACCTAATACCCACTAAGACGAGTTTAGACGTTTATTTTACATAAATGGTTTCCTGGAGATAGAAACTTTTTTATTTCTTTGACAACTCTTTAAATATAAGTCTCATCTTGTGAAAGTAACCCTGTTCATTGTCAAAAACCGTTTTTTCCTTTAAGCAAAGTTTTTAAACATCCTTGAACTCTAAATCCCAGATTTGTAAATGTACTGCACCTGCTTCTTGTACACTCCCTGCCTCATAGTGATGAATGAAATTGTATTGTACGACACATTTTGTACCTAGTTTCCTACGTTGCCCGACTGAATTTTAATCCTGGTGATTTTTTACGTGTTTTTATAACAGTAACAAATAAACAGAGTGCTGAATGGGCTGGTCAACTGATTGCTAGCATCGTCTCAAAGAGATTGACATTAGGGGTCATTCAGGTAAAGGGTTACCCACAAAGGATGAGACTTTAATGAAGTCCTAAAACTTTTAAATTCTAACGGTCAAAAGGTTAACTTTCGTATTCTGTCTTTAATTTAGTCTTTTATTGCAGCTAGTGTACTCAGGGATTTTTATAAGAAGGCAAAAAGTTAAAACTTAGAGGGAATCATTAATCTAAAGTCTGAAGCCTCTTACTTTGTGGATACATTTTTAAATTGATTATGATTATTATAATATATTTAACAACTCATTTTAGCTTTTGTGTGCCACAAAATAAATTTAAAAAAACTGCATCAATTCTGTTCACTTTTAAACTTCTGCAGAACTGAATTAAACTTTATTATAAAGTTTCTTCTTACGTTTTTCTTAAAATAGTGTTTGAAGAAAACTTTAATGCATTTTTCCAAAAACCTGTTTGTTACTCCTACTTTTGCGAACTTTTAATAGTTCTTCCTTATCTATTTCGCATTAAAAGGACCTTTTTTATACAGTGATAACCAGAAAACAATGGAATAGGAAAATGACATTATAGCAATACTTATGTATATTTAATGTTGTTACAAAGCAAATAAATTTTACTTCGACACTTAATTAATCAGTAATTTAGTGAAATAGGTCTGTTTACACTTCACAATTCCTGTGTCTCAGGCTCAGTGGACTTTTAAAAGTAAAAACTTGATTCTTAAAGTCGTCTTCCTATTCCAGAGTTTAAATGCATCATCAGTTTTTTTCTGAACTATGATTTCATGAATAAATCATGAAATGAAAGGTACTGGTTAAAATATTCATGGCAGTTCTTTCTTGTAGTTTTCTGAACTATGATTTAATGAATAAATCATGAAATGAAAGGAACTGGTTAAAATATTCATGGCAGTTCTTTCTTGTAGTTTTATAAGACAAGTCAGCTACAGTGGTAGGCGATTATATCAATACAATGAAAACGACATTTGCATTTAAGTTTTAATTGTTAACAAGCTTTTTTCGAACTACAAGTTTACAAGTAATTAAAGAGAAGCTTTTTAAATTGACAACTTTTCTTGACTTCTATGTTTATGTGAATCCTTGCTGTAGCTTGATATAAATCAAAATTGAAATCGAAAGTCGTTTTCATTGTATTGATATAATCGCCTACCACTGTATTTTAACAAATTCTATAATATAATAGTATTTTTCTCTACCTCACTTGTGAGTATTCAAACCAACGATTAATATTTGAGATGTTGTAAAAACATTACGTTGACAATATCTTTCAGGGTCTAGGGTACAGATGGAGGAAAACAAGAGAACTTCCTCCAGTTCTCTTCAGTTTAGGTCGAATTCAACTTTAAATATATGTACATTGTACATTCATTTAGGAAAAGTAGTTTTTATAGTGTTGAGATTTTCTAGCTCAAGGGTTGTTCGAAGCTTTTACTTTTTTGTTAGAGTAAACGATAAATATTTGATACCAAAGTGTTGTATCTATATAGTTAATGTCCAATTTTAAATGTTGTGCATTTATGCTCTGCATTAGAAACCTACAAAAAGTGTGAAGTTTAAAATGGAAATAAAAAGTTGAAAGGGAATCTTTGCCAGCTTATATAGAATCCAATCTTCTCAAGTGAATTTATATACATTGAAATTAAATGAAAATAAACACGATGAGAACTAAGATCCCTTGTCCCAATAAAGGATTTGAAAAGGAAGAAAATTGAGTTTTTCTCCTAGTGGAGTCCCAGGAGATTACAGATACAAATACAGGATTCATCCAAGGGATGAGAGATAACATTCATCCAGATATGAGCTCCAAGGTACGAATATTACATCCACGGGTGAGGGATGATATTTTTTCAGAGGGCTGCAAAGTTTTTTATAAAGGGTTCTTCAGAGATATTTTAGTTTTGAACTTATGTGTTCTCAAAACACATGCGAACATTCAAATAAAACTTATCGTTCGATCTTCCTGATCTCATTTTCAAAAAATGTTTAGTCTATTTTCCCTAACGTCCACTCATTCTTTTCAACTCCTTTTCTCTTTCTCCTCCTAACCTTCCCTTTTCAATAATCCCAACTGTCCTATTCTCACCTTCTAGATCTTTACTTTATTTTAATTTACTCCCATCCTGAACCTTCTTCACTTTTTTCTCCCAAACCCTTCTACCATTTACTCCCAAACCCTCCCATTCAATGTTTCTGTATTTTCTCCAAACCTTCTCATCCTTATCTTTAAACCTCTTCACTCTTAGTTCTCTCAACCAAGCTTACCGCCCTTTTATTTCTTTTTTATTTCAACCGAACAATCCTATCCTTCCAGGGGCGGATACAGGGGGGTGGCGGGGGGCATTCGCCACCCCCTGAAAGATTCAGGGAGGGGCGTAGCCCCTCCCTGAGATTTCGAGGCAAAAAATGTTCCCAATTTTATTAATCGAATGTGTTTTTCAATTTCAAGCTTTTTTATAATTTAATGGAAATCTTGACTTTCTTTTCTTCAGTTTAATTTAAAAATCAACGACAACAAATAAATGTTATTGTTAACGATAAATTTAGAATTAGAAATTTGTAAGAAACTAAACTTAAGTTATAATATTGTTCATATCTAGTAATGCTCCTTAATCAATACTCATTTATCAAAATTGTAATATTGGTCCTAATTTTGATGCATTTAAGTATAACTAGTAATTTCTTTTTGTTTTTAAATTGCTAACGTTCCTATTATTGTTCCTGTTCCTAATACTGCGTCCGACCCAACTTAAATCCCTCCACTTATCCAATATTTTTGTTCCTAATTCCTGAACAATCTTTTTATTGTTCCTAAATCCCTGTCCTAATCCATTATTTTTGTTCCTAATTCCTGAACAATCTTTTTATTGTTCCTAAATCCCTGTCCGAATCCTCTAATTTTCTTCCAAATTCCTGAAAAATCTTTTAATTGTTCCTAAATTCCTGTCCTAATCATTTATTATTTTTCCTAATTCCTGAACAATCTTTTAATTGTTCCTAAATTCCTGTTCTGATCCGTTAATTTTGTTCCTTAAAGTTAAAAATCTAGTTTTTTTAGTCTTTAGTCATTAATTTTGACTCTTTTCAAAAAAAATTTTGCCTGCGGCACGATTTTTGGTTCCTAATTATTAATTTTTGGTTCCTAAAAAATCTTACCCCCCCCCCCCTCACTTTAATCCTGTATCCGGCCGCCCCTGTATCCTTCTCACCCAAACCATCACACTATTTTGTCCCTCACTTCCCATCCAAACCCTCCACCCTTCTCTCCCAAACCATCCAACCAATTCCATTATTCTCTCCTAAACCATCCAACCGGCTCTTTAATTCCAACCCGCTCACCTAAACCATCCCACCCTTCTTACCCGAACCCCCAAACCCTACTCACCTAAACCATCCCACCCTTCTCACCCAAACCAACATTCATTCTCACCTATAACATCCCACCCTTCAATTCCAACCCTTCCTAACCTTTCAAACCTATTCCTCCCTTCTCACCTAAACCTTTTTTCCCAAAACATCCAACCCTTCTCACTCAAACCATCACAGCCTTTTCACACAAACCACCCTACCCTTTTCACCTAAACCATCCATTCTTCCTTTTCGCCTAAAGCTTCCCATTCTTCTAACCTCAACTACCCATCCATCCATCCAATCCTTTAATTCTAGCTCATCCAATATTTCTGAGGCGACATAATACTTCACATATAAAAATATTTAAATAATTCACTAGGTCTCTGTTTACAGGATAAATACAAGAATGATTTCTACTACATTGCTCCACTTTATCATCTGGCATTCACAGGGTTAGACAAGGTCGTCTTTATAGATATATCAGATATGGAGTTCACAGTAGATATTAAAGGTAATGTTTACTTTATCATCTGGCATTCACAGGGTTAGACAAGGTCGTCTTTATAGATATATCAGATATGGAGTTCACAGTAGATATTAAAGGTAATGTTTACTTTATCATCTGGCATTCACAGGGTTAGACAAGGTCGTCTTTATAGATATATCAGATATGGAGTTCACAGTAGATATTAAAGGTAATGTTTACTTTATTCAACTACAGGGTGTCCCACGAAACATGACAATTGGAAGACGACTTGAAAGTCGTCTTTGGTATTTGAATTTATTTGTGACATTTAGTCTTCTATCTACTTTAACATGTATGATTCTTGAAACAATTATCACATAATTCTCCTAGCCCTGGCATTTCCAAAAAGTGGTCTGCGTTTTTTGTGCTTTCAATATTACCGGAGATATAAAGAGTTTGGTTCAGATTTCAATTTTGTTAATTAAAAGCAAAATTGTCGAAATCTGAACGAAATTCTTCATATCTCGGGCAATATTGAAAGCACAAAAAAGGCAGACCACATTTTGGAAATGGCAGGACAAGGGAAATTTTGTGATTATTATCTCTAGAAATTTACTTCTAAAATTAGGTTGACAAATAAACGCAGCAAATTATATCAAAAATCAAGACGACATTCAAGTCGTCCTGCATACTGTCATGTTTCGTGGGACACCCTGTATGTTAACTTTCTATCATTAATCTTTCTATCCATATATCTATCTTCCCAGTTAGTTAGGCAATATATCAATCAATAAATCAATGAATTTATAAACAATCAATCAATATATATTTTAATTTATTTATCTATCTCTCTATTTATATTTTAGAACTGTATGATGAGTTTACTAAGCTAGAATCAAGTCCTGCTATTCTAGGAATAGGCCTTGATCTATCCCCTCACTATTTTGGATATCTTAAGGTTGGCTTAATTCTGTTTTGATAAAAATATTAATTTGACATGTTTTTTATCAAACAATAATATGCTTCTTATTTAATACATTTATTTTAGAGTTACATCGAGTCCCATCCTGGAACAGATATAGGAAAACCAGGGAAAAATCAGGTAATAAAATAGCCCATGAATTAAAGAGATGGAAATCATTCGATTTAAAACTTGAAATTAACAGCTTCGATTCACGAACATAAACATAATTTTGTTTCAGGGTTTAAACACCGGCGTTGTACTGTACAGACTGGATAAAATGCGGGTGAATGAGCTGTACAACAGTTTTCTGAACAAACAAAAAATAGACTATCTTGTTAAAAAGTAAGTATTTTTTTCTCTAAAATTACATAAATAACTCAAAATTTTCATTTTTTTGTCTCCCCAGTTCCTTATGATTAAGTTTTTCATAAAATACCAAGTTGAATTATGCTTTAAATCTTAAATGCATCTGGGGAGTAATCTTGATATTAGATATTTGCTTTGAAGGTTCGGATATCCATTTGCATTGGCGGAACAGGACTTCTTTACTAACCTTGGTTTCATGTTTCCAGACCTATTCCATATACTTCCTTGCCAGTTCAATACTCAGACATCGTTACAGGTATACAGGTGTACAGGTGTACCACTCTTCAATACTTCACTAACCTTGGTTTCATGTTTCCAGACCTATTCCATATACTTCCTTGCCAGTTCAATACTCAGACATCATTACAGGTATACAGGTGTACAGGTGTACCACTCTTCAATACTTTACTAACCTTGGTTTCATGTTTCCAGACCTATTCCATATACTTTCTTGCCAGTTCAATACTCAGACATCATTACAGGTATACAGGTGTACAGATGTACCACTCTTCAATAAACCCCACAATTCCTTAGGTCAGAGAACTGAATATTACTGCAGTACGCACCGAAAGCTTAGTTTAGGGGGGTACAGGTATACAAATTTACATTGTACAGGTATACAAATGTACATTGTACAGGTATACAAATGTACATTGTACAGGTATACAAATGTATATTGTACAGGTATACAGATGTACATTGTACAGGTATACAGATGTACATTGTACAGGTATACAGATGTACATTGTACAGGTATACAGATAAACAGGTATACTACTATATCTGAGTATATATTTTGAAAATTTACTAATTTAAAGAATTAATGATTTTTTAACCGAATTAAATATTTATGTTTAGTATTTAAGTTCACCGTTTGAGAATATCTTTAAGAGCTATCACTACTGTGACAGGTATAAGATAAAATAATAATACAGCACGTACTTTGAAAGCACATGTACACAGAGTTGCATGCAAAAGAGAAATTACGGCCAAGATTTATTTTTTAAATACATAAAATCTGCAAGGGTTTAAATTGGACTTATGCTGTCTATGCATCAAAATAAAACAACAATGAATGACATTTCACGAACAAAATTTTTTAGAAACAATTTTATCCAAATTGTAATTTTGTTCTCTAACTTTTACCTTTTATAATATAATCCCGTGGAGACGGGGGGGGGGTGATTTTTCATAAAACATGTACCCCTGACTAAAGATATACAGGAAAGAGAATATAAAAATCTTCCATCTGAACGGATGTGGCCCTACGCCTGCACAGTGTGGGGGGAACAATAAGGAATAACAATTAATTAAGAATTAATAAAAATAAAAATAAATATATAAAAATAAATAAAACATTCTGCGCATCTGAATTCCGATTGGAAACCAGTATTTACAGCCCAATTATTGTGTTATGTACAGAGCAGTACAGTTTACGATAAGGATCATGATCTACATTTCTACCATATAGAAGTACAGGTATATCTGTTGCAGCATTTTCAACATTGTACACATTTAGCAAGTGTAACCTATTTCAGTCTGTTAAGTCAATATGTTGTTGTTTTCCAACAAAATATTATAAATCTAATATTTGTTGCATTGTTTAACCCTATCCCTGCTCTCCCTGCTGGGGTACTTGAAAACCAGGATACGCTGGGGGGGGGGGGGAGGGGTTCAATTTGAACCCTCCACCCTCCAAATCCCATGTTTGATGTCCAAATATGACAATTGATGAATTATTGGAAATTTTGATTCTTTTTGGCAAAATGCAGTTGTCTAGTAAAAATGTTTGCAACAAAAAAAATGTCCAAAAAATGATAAAATATACATTTTTGAAAAACCTTTGACCATGCCCTTTCAAATATGCAAAAGTTTAAATATTATTGTGTGTAATTAAGAAAAACTAAAAATGTGAAAATTTCTTATGACAGGTTGTATGCAAACTGCAAACATTTCGTTGCAAACCTTCCGTTTCCTTATTCCATAGGCTTTCCAAAAAACTAAAAATTATCAAAATCTGATGACTGAAAGTGGGTCAAAACAAAGATTTTGTTTATTACAGGAAAAAGTAGCCATTCAGGCAGTGTGCCTGAGGACCCAGGCAGATAGTATGAAAGCCCGGTTTTAGACCTAACAGAGGGCTGTGGGTATTTAGGAAAAGTCAGAAAATTTTAAAAGCCTCAGACCAATTCTTTTTGAGTAATGTAAAAAAAACTACAGAGGGGTCAGTTTGACCCCCCCCCCCCCAGCAGGAATAGGGTTTAGAGTTGGCATTTTTAACAAGCACCGTAAGTTTACAAATTAGTAAAATCTCCAATAAAAAGGGAATTTTCTCCTGGTGATCTAAAAAAAGTTACAAACTCAAGCAAATGTATTTGTTCCAAATTCCATGATTTACTGAATTGCATACTAGGTATGTATAAAAACTTGAAATGAGTCAGTAACTTTAAATAGAGAAAAGTAATCATTGTATTTGATTATATTAAGTTTTAAAGTACACTATAGACCATAGGAAAACGTGTCAAACTGTTAAGAGTTGTTTAAAAGTAAGCTTTGGGGTTAAGATATTTGGAAGCTAATGAATAAAATAAAGTAAGTTTAGTCCAATGCATGATAAAGGTTTGTATTCAAGGTGTTCTGGGAAATTATGGAAGGATTATACAGAGATGAGATGAAAGAAACTCAAGAAACATGATGTTGTTTCAGCCATATTTATTAAGTTAAATAAAAATAATTCATTGCTCTCGTTTATTTTCATTTCTCATACATAGTCGTCTGAATTAGTAAAACAGAAAGAAAAGACTAATTTTCTGTCTATTTTGATTTCACTAGACATAGAACAGGGAATAAACACCTTGATGTGAACTTTTCTCTTAGTAAGGGTCGTTGTGAAATATAAACACGAAACTCCATTTATTAATTTTCAGAGGTTATATTTCCACACAAAAAAAAACCCCACCCTTGCCGTTAATTTTCTAAGATACCAAAATATTTATTACCTCAGATTTCATGTAGTTATTAAGTTTCCTTTAAGTTTTTAACTCAACAGTGAGTTGTTCAATATTCTTTGTAATATAATGTTTGTAATTTTGGCTTGTCCGGTTGTTTATAATTTATCATAACGTTAAAACAGAAAACCAATTGGTCCCACATTTTTTTTTGTGTTTACCCCCAGCCCAGTACGGTATATAGTCTGCCATAATTTAAATTTCGCTTTGTTTAACTTTAGAAACCCACCAATGAGAAATTCTGCACGAAGAAGAAATGCTTGCAGATTCAGGGTTACCCACTATGGATGAGACTGTAACGACGACCTAAAACCAATGATTGACAAAAAACAAGCTTTCAGTTCCAGAAAATCATGAACATAAGAAAACAGAGCGTAAAAATTCCATACAATCGGGATGGGTCGAGATATTGATTTATGAAAAAAAAGGGCGCTCAGCGCCCTGGGGGCAAGTTAATTTCTAATATTGCAACACCCCTGGACTTATCTAAACTGAATGTTCCAAGTATTGAAAGTTTACCTATAGTTAAATATTATTCTAACGACTGTTTACTAACTGATGGTTTGGTCGCCAAGATATCGGTTAAACTATTGAAGATGATGAGTTGGATTTAACATTATCTCAAAATAAATTCATTATTCGGGGTTCTTAATTTTTGAAACTATTTCTCGAAGTCTTTAATTCCATGTTAACATTTGAGAGGTACAGGATGAGTACGAATATAGATATTAATATCTAAATTGTTTATGTTTTGGTTAACAACAATTTTCATTTTATGCCGCTAATCTATAAACTTGAATGTTATTGTTAAATCCAGCTCTTTACAAACGAATGTCATTTATTTAGAACCCGACCCGAGTGCATAAAAATGATGTACCTTTACAGTTAGTGGGAAATTTGTCAGAGTGCTCAAAAAAAAGAACTAGTTAATTGGCAATATTTCAAACAATTTTCAAAATTTCAGAAAAAAAGTTTTTTAGAGATCCGATTTTAGATACCCATATCGACGCGTTTCAAAAATTTAAAAAGTCAACCTCCTTTAGTGAAATATAATTTTAAAAAGTCGACCTCCTTTAGTGAAATATAATTTTAAAAAGTCGACCTTCTTTAGTGAAATATAATTTTAAAAAGTCGACCTCCTTTAGTGAAATATAATTTTAAAAAAGCTTGTGCTGAATCATTTGAAAAAAAAAGTCTGCTACGAGTTGGCTAATATTTGAATTTTTTTTCATTTTGTCCCAGGGTTATTTACAATAATAAACAGACCTTTATTCTTTTTAACATTTTCTTAGCGTGCAAATATATTTACCTTTTTTCAAATTAACACTCAAACGTCATTTAACATTCATGGTTACTGGAACACCCATTATGTTGAATTAGGACATTTTAATTAGATGATTTATCGATAATGAGTTTTGCTCTAAGAAAAAGTGTCTGGGACGAACCCTTATATATACTTTTCTTGTCTGTCTGTTATTTTCTTTGTTTGTATTTGATAAACGTCAAAACGGCTGAACAGATAGGGCCCCAATTTTGTGTGGGACCTCGCATGAATCAAGGGAAGGTTTCTGAATAATCAAAATTTTAAATTCCATTGTCATTTAATTTCTAAAATCAAAGAATTTTCTTTTATAAAATCCGCGAACTTTTTTCTGTTTTTGTTTTACAATGTATACAAAGTGATAATGTTTACAAATGAAATAAAAAATGAGCGCGAAGCGCCCTGTCGCCTATTTTAAAAAATTACAGTTGGGTCGCTGAACTACCTACTGCCGGTTCAATTTTTAATCACTGATTCAAAGTCAAACGATTCAGGAAGGATTTAAATTTGTGATTCAAATTTAAACCGGTGCGGCGGTAAGCAGTTCCGCGACCCCTCAAATTCATTAAAGTTTATTTAACTCCCTAGGAACATTTTTTGATTAAGCATGTACAAAATTATAAAATTCAATTGCTGTTCTTAAATTTTAGCGCGAACATGATTATCTTAGGTTAATCGTTTTCATAACGTTTATTAAATAAAATGCGGTACAATTATATTTACAGAGGGAGATTACAAAACTGGAAAAAAACAGGAACAAGATTAATACATTGAACGGTGATTGATGGGAGGGATTTGTTAACGACCTCGGCTGAATCCACGACCTCCACCACGCCCTCTTCCGCCACCACCAACGCCGCCCTGAACACAAAAACTGTTAATGACCAGCATTCTAGCTTCCTGTCGATAAAAAATCGCGAGTGAAAAAACGTTATTCTCAAAACACACATTTATAATGTTAACAAATAATAAAATACCTTCCTAACCTAACAATTGAATGGTAAATCAGGTTTTTTCATAACACAACAAAACTGTAGAAACTGACTTTTAGTACGAGAAATTGGAATAACTATTTTTTTAAAGACGATCTGACTCCATCAAATGGATTTAATTTTCGATTAATAATTAACAGTAAACCTTTTAAATCAAATCATTAAATCCAAAATTTCAGGCTCTTGTGACCTTTGGTTGCCGAGTTATGGCATATTGAAGTTCCGGCATCGAGGCAATTTGTTTTGGGCTGACCTCGCATCCTTCAAATGGCAACAACTTTTTTGTTTATTAAGATGCCAATTTTAACACCATTGTTTGCTAGTTACTTGAAGATCCAGTTTAATTAGAAGATTTTTCAATTTCAGCAATTGAATATGCTCACATATATTTTAACTTTTAGGCCTCGATTGTTTTATGAGGCCAACCTCCAATTTACGCTGATTTTCTGTTAGAGATTCCCTAAATGTTTAAAATGAGCTTTAAAACCGTAATTTAAAATCATTTTCCCAAATATTCTACCATAGTCGTATGGTTTTAAAGCTCTAGCTCCATTACCAAGTAAATGCCAGAAAAACATTTGCATTATCATTTAATACATCAAATGGAATCTCTGAAAAAAATTGCATAAATTGGAGGAAGGCCTTCTAAAAAATCGTGGTTAAAAAGTTAAAAAAATTTGTGAGCATGTTTGAATTGTTCAATAAGTTAAATAAAAAAATCTTTTAATAAGTTTTATCTCAAAGTAGCCAGTAAAAAAATGGCTTATAAATTAGCTTAATATCTTAATTAACAAAAAATTATTTCCAATTAAAGCATGCGAGGTCGAGCCGAAAATTGTCTTGAGGCCGGATATTTAGGAGTCCATAACTAAGTAACCACAGGTCGCAGGAGCCTGAAATTTTGGAGTTAAGGTTTTCTCCTCATATGCTAGGTGGATGCAAAATTTGAAGAAAATCCATGACATTGACTTCCAGTTCCATGATTTCCAAAAACTGGCTGAGTTCACAGAGAATGACCCGACCATTAACTTTAACTTTAATTTGTTAGGTAAACCAGTCCTTAACAGTCTCCCACCTTCGTTACTTAGTAAAAATCAGTTCCAACCGCAATTAAGAATTTGCAAGAGCAATCAATGATATATTTATTATCTAACCTGATATGGACCTCCTCGACCTCCACGTCCTCCACCACCAGCACTACCTCCTCCGCCTCCCATGCTTCCACTAAATCCACCTCCTCCGCTTCCCCCGCCTCCACCACCTCCGTTTCTCATAGGTCCTCCGCCTCCTCCATATCCTCCGCCCCAGCCTCCCTGCTCGCCTCCTCCGCCCCAACTACTTTGATTTCCGCCGCTAAATCCGCCGAATCCACCTTAAGAAATATACATTAAGATAAGATAAAGTTTATTGCTAAAATAAATGTATCTGTGTACAGATAGAGTTTACAATCACAAAATTGATGATTATATTAACAGTACAAGTATAAAGCAATTAGGTGGAATACATAGTTGTACGTAATCTAATAAAATTCATATATTGAATAATTGTACTTTTCGTGAACTTTGCTTGTATGTATTAAATATTCGTTAAATCAATAGAAATGTGTTATTACCTCCATTTCCCATGCCTCCCATACCTCCCATGCCTCCCATACCGCCTCCTCCCATGCCTCCCATACCACCTCCCATTCCTCCCATGCCACCACCTCCCATAGCGTTCATACCTCCCATACCACCCATGCCTCCCATTCCACCCATACCACCTCCACCCATGCCACTCATGCCTCCGAATCCACCCATGCCTCCACTATTTCCTCCTATACATAAATTTTGCAAATGAAATTAAATTCGTATAAAATAAATAACGTAAAATGAGTGGAATTTATTTGTTACCTCCAAATGATCCAAATCCACCTCCTTGGCCTCCGAAGCCTCCTCCCTGCTTGCCTCCAAATCCACCCTGCTGCCGTCCTCCAAATCCTCCTTGCCTGCCATCGAAACCTCTATCCCTGCCTCCTGAGTTGTCCCCCCATCCTCCTCCTCCCCCTCCCTGCTCCTTCATCTTCCTGCTCTCTTCTTTAGGGAGAGCTTTCTTGACATCGATCTTGTACCCCTTGATCATATGTGGAGCCTGAAACAAAATATAACACTAGTAATATGGAAATATTAAAAGAATCGTAATCTTAAAATGAATGCATCATTTACCAACTAATCAACCTTAAATCATCTATCATAAACCATTTAACTGTTCATTAAATCAATCCTAAACATAACTAATCAATAATTAGCATATGTAACGAATATATCATAAACTAACTAATCAAGCAACCTGTCAAATTCAATTAAATCAAACCATTAATCAAAGCACCAATCCATCCATCACTAAATCACTCAATCAATTAATAAATTAATCAAATTATCAGTCAGAATATCTGTATGTAGACCTACCGTAAGTACAAGTTTATCCACGGGATCATAATCATCAAATTCAACAAATCCAAATCCTTTCTTACGTCCTGAACAATAAGATTGTTACAAAAGAGTTATTTCCAGAGACGACTGCAGATGTACACTGTACACTGTACAGTTAAAACTTTGCAGTACACAGAAGGGATATTGGATCCTGAGAGAACAATTTTCGTTAAATATTTACCATCGTTGTCTCATTTATTTCAGATATTTTAGTGTGTAAATTTGTTCTTTCTAGGCCTCATACTTTTTTGGTACAACCACTTCCTTAAGTTTAAGTTTAAATCTAGAAATCTTAAACAGATATTTTTTGCCAAGATGGGTTAGATCCAGATCATCGGTCAATGCTGTGGACTCGGTTCATGCTGTGAATGCACCTTCTTCACGACAGAACCGCCGACCTCAACGTTCACAACGACCGTCTAGCCCTGTTACCCGCCGTTCCCAGACTCCTGCAGCTCCTTCCCGCCGTTCAACTTCACCATCTTCTTGTTGGTACCTCGCCAAGTTCGGTACGAAGGCCCTCAGCTGTCAGAGCCCCTGTTCATGGTCGGGAAACTAGAACACCGGCAGGAGGATGCCCTCTCCCTGCCTGCCGGTTCAACAGGTTCTGCTCTCATTTACCTACATGATTTACTCTCTAATCGCCGGTTTTTAGTCGACACTGGTGCCTCGATATCAGTTTTTCCAGCCCCAGCCTCGTCCACATCCTCTGGTGTTCAGTTACTCACTGCAAACGGTTCAACTTTAACCTGTTCAGGTTCCAGGATTATTCCTCTACGTTTTGGAACATGGAATTGTTCATGGACTTTTCAATTGGCTCCAGTTTCTGTTCCCATCCTTGGAGCAGATTTTCTCCAGCATCATGACCTCAGTGTGAACGTGAGAAGCAAGAAAGTGTTTTCAACCAGTGCATCTAGAAGTTTGTCCATTGATCTGTCCTCTTCACCGCCACCTTCTACATCATCTATGCAAGCCGCTTTTCTCTCCACTCCTCAGTGCGTGTCTGACCTTCTGCAGGAGTTTCCTGATGTCCTGCAGTCTGATGGTTTTACTGCTGCTCCTCCACGCCATCAAGTTCGTCATCATATCCTCACCAAGCCTGGACCACCAGTTTAAGCCAAAGCCCGCCGTTTAGATCCTGCCAAACTCGCTGTAGCTAAAGCAGAGTTTTCCGCCATGGAGAAAGCCGGTATTATCCGCCGTTCCACTTCTCCTTGGGCCTCTTCACTACATATGGTAAAGAAGAAGGATGGAGGATGGAGACCCTGCGGTGATTACCGCCGTCTTAACACCGCCACTGTTCCAGACCGTTATCCGCAACCCAATATCGCCGATTTCACCTCCCGAGTCAGTGGTTCATCTGTTTTTTCTAAACTGGATCTTCAGATGGGATATTATCAGGTACCAGTCGAGCCGGAGGACGTCCAGAAGACCGCCATCACCACCCCCTTCGGGATGTTCGAGTTCTTGGTAATGCCTTTTGGCTTACGGAACGCTGGGAACACATTCCAGCGCTTAATGGATCAGATCTTAGGAGACCTTCCTTACAGTTTCGTGTACGTGGATGATATCCTCGTCTTTAGGATAAGATCTGACCTCTCACGTCCAGCATCTCCGGGACGTGTTTCTCCTCTGTCGTGAATATGGTCTCACTATTGGCCTGCCTAAGTGCCAGTTTGCTGTGGAGGATATTGAGTTCCTTGGTCATCACCTCACCGCCTCTGGTTGCTCTCCCTTGGTGAAGCACTCCGCCGCTATCTCCGCCTTTCCACAGCCAACAGACAAGCCCAGCCTCCAGAGGTTTCTCGGAATGGTTAATTTTTACAGGAAGTTTCTCCATTCCGCAGCTCAAATCCTTGCTCCTCTCACAGACGCTCTTAAGGGTCCTGGAAAAACCATCACCTGGACTCCACTCATGGACTCCGCCTTCTCTAGTGAAAGAAACTCCTCTCATCTGTTCCGGAGTTAGTGCATCCTCAATGCAACGCGCCAATCTCTCTTGCTGTGGATGCCTCAGACTCACACATAGGAGCTGTCCTTCAACAACAACTCCCGGATAAATCTTGGTCTCCGCTGGCTTTCTTCTCCAAGAAACTTTCCGACGCTGAGAAGAAGTACTCCGCATTCGATAGAGAACTCCTGGCTGCTCACTCTTCTGTTCGTCACTTCCGCTTCATGCTTGAAGGTAGAGAGTTTACAATATTTACTGACCACAAGCCATTAACTCATGCTTTGTTCAGGTCAAGTCCTCCATGGTCAGCTCGTCAGCAGAGACACCTATCGTACCTGGCAGAATTTACTAGCTCCATTGTTCATATTCCTGGCAAAGAAAATGTTGTAGCTGACGCTCTGTCCCGGCCTGTTTCGCCCAGCTCCTCTCCAAACCCTGAGTCAAATCCGTCCTCAGTATCTCCGAGTCCAACTAAACCTTGCTCCAATTCAAACCCTGCTCCAAACCCTGAGTCAAATCCGTCCTCAGTTTCTCCGAGTCCAACTAAACCTTGCTCCAATTTAAACCCTGCTCCAAGTTCCTTCCAATCTCCGTCTAAGCCTGTTAAGCCTCACCCCTTTCCAGCCCCTGATCTTTGCCTCCTGTGGTGTCGGAGGTGTGGGAGGTGCCGGAGGTGTCGGAGATATCTATTCCAGTTCCAACCAGAAGGTTTTCTCATGTTCATGTTGATATTGTGGGTCCTCTACCCTCCAGTCAAGGCCATTCTTATCTTCTAACCATGATAGACAGGACTACAAGATGGCCTGAGGTTGTTCCGTTATCCTCTATCTCCGCTAAGTCATGTGTGCGTGCTTTCATCTCAACCTGGATATCAAGGTTCGGAGTTCCTGCGGTTCTCACATCAGACAGAGGTTCCCAGTTCACATCTTCAATCTGGAATGGAGTCTGTTCTGTTTTAGGGATTTCACCCTCTACTACAACCTCCTTCCATCCTCAAAGTAACGGTATGGTCGAGAGATTCCATAGAAGTTTAAAATCCTCTCTCCGGGCCAGGTTAGCAGGTTCGGACTGGTTTTCTCACCTTCCTTTGGTTCTCCTGGGTTTGAGAGCTACTCCGAAGGATGATACTGGCCTCTCAGTCTCCGAGGCTGTCTATGGTTCTCCTTTAACTTTGCCTGGTGAACTCCTGGACGTTCCGGAACTTCCTTCTGAATCATTCCTGAGGAAAGTTGAAAGAGCAATTGATGGTATCGCCATTCCTCCGCCCCATCATGTTCACACAGTTCCTCCGTCTCAGCTACCTGCAGCCCTCTTGAAATCTCAGTTCGTGTTTGTCCGCGAGGATGCAGTTATACCTACTCTAGCTCCTCGTTATCGCGGGCCTTACCTGGTATTAGAAAGGCGGAGCAAATACTTCCGCATCCAGATTGGTTCCAAACAAGATGTGGTTTCTGTTGATCGACTGAAACCTGTGTTCAGTGATGCTCCCGTCACTCCTGCTCTTCCTCCGCCTCGAGGAAGACCCAGCCGTCGTCCAGTGGCAAATTCTTCGGATCCTCCGCCATCCTCCGCCGCAAGAATACCCAAGAAAGTCAGGTTTCAACTTACTCCTCGAGTTCATCCTCCACCTTCAACTGCACGTCGGAATCCTTACAGGTCTTCAAGGGATAGAAGAATCAGCTCCGCCACGTCTCCGCCGTTCATTCTGGGGGGACTACTGTGGCGGTTATGAAAGTCGTCCTTCTTGGAGAATTCTCCGCGGCAGCTGAGAAGCCAAGAGGGAGTTTCCTGAGCCACATGATTCACCGAACTTTTCAACCATTTAACTTAGATATAAATATATAGTTAGTTAATCTTGAACCTTTCTAAGTTTATTTAGCTGATCGCCAAAAGATCAAATATTTTGAATGAAAAGCAAGCTGTGAAATATACGGATTGATTTACAAATAATTTGTTTTTAGATAAATTTTGTCGACTGGGCAAAGTTCATACTGACTATGGCGATACCAAAGCTTTGATTTTTTTAAATGCTCATTTATTTTCGAGTTGCTCTTTAAAAAAAATATTGGCCTATCAAGAAACTTCAGACTAACAGCTTACTTCTGAAATATATCAAAGAAGTGATTGTAACATAAAAAAGTAATAGCCTAGAAAGAAAAAACTTTTTAACTTTTAATAACTGAAATATAGAGCTTTCCAATAACTTTTTGTTCATAATAAATTTGATTATAATTATCCCCTCAATACCCATACCTAAACCCACTACGTCCAAAGTTTTTGGGACACCCCTTATAAGAAACAAGAAATATAAATAATAAAAATTGGATGAATTTGAAATCCACTTTTGGTGACTTCATGTCATTCGTGATTTATGCAGGAATACATATTTTTTGGAAACAATCATAAGGATTTGAGTGAGGAAAAACTTTCAACTGGAAGGTTTATTTCTCTCTTTTAAAAACATTTTTTTCCCTCGACTATTTGAAGCAAGACTTTTTGAAAAATATTACCCTTGGATCTATGATGACCTTTGCACCCCTGATACTTCAGAATTTATAATAGAAATTCTTAGGTTTCCAATTGCAAACTAAATGCATCAAATGCATATGCATGCAAATGACGAATAAAACCAGGTAATTTGAAGAGGTCTTAGAACCGAACAAAATAAAAATTTAGACTTCAATTGGCAACTTGAAAGTTTTTATAATAACAAAAGAACCTTCAAAATCGGACTCGAACAATATTTTAACATTTTTGGTAAGATTTATCTCTTTTCCAATCAATCCAAAATTCAAATTAGCAGAAACCCATCAAATATTTGAAATTAATCTTAATTCTCCAACCTGTCTCTTTATCCTTCATCCTGACTAGATCAGTGATAGTTCCATATTTAGAGAAGAACTCACGCATATCCTCTTCCTCAACTCCATCCTACACAACACAGATCAAATATACGAACATTTACAAGAAAATATAAATCACCGTCAACGGTCAACGGTCAACGGTCAACGTCAACGTCAACGTCAACTTCAACGTCAACGTCAACGTCAACGTCAACGTCAACGTCAACGTCAACGTCAACGTCAACGTCAACGTCAACGTCAACGTCAACGTCAACGTCAACGTCAACGTNATATTGGCCCAGTTTTATCTTATCATAATAGAATACCTTGATTCCACCGATGAAGAGTTTTTGCACGCTCTGTCCATGTGCAAGCCTAAACAAATAATCATAATAAACATTCAGCCATTTAGAGTGAGAAGATTTGCATTTCAACTATAATAGTATTAAGTACATTGTTAGTAAATAATTATCCTATGTTAATTTCGTTATTTTTGTTTAAAGAGACTATTGTATTAATTTCAACTTTCATTTATAGAAATGCAAGCATGTCCTATTTAAATCTTCATCTGTTTAATAATGTGGAAGATATCGTTGTATATCTAGTTAGGAAAGAGTGAAACTTCAACAATTTTGTCCATTGTTTCTGAAGCAGAAATGCGCAAGTCACTTCGTAGAGAAACCATAATAGGAAATAATAAATTTTCAATAAGAATATGATGGATATCTTCTGCATTCATGACACGACAACGATTTAAGGATACTCTTTACAGTTACAGCCGCAACAAAAGCTGTCTTTTTACATTTTTTCTCGTATTTTGTTTGACATAGAATAATCTAAGGAAGAAAAACAGGGGATATATGAGGAGGATATATTTCCTGATATTAAAGTGACCATAAATGTGATATTGGGACATTATAAAGAATATATGTATTAAATAAACCATTCCAAGGATTAATATTATTTCAACAAGTAACATGAACCCAGAACATTACAAGGATAGATGACCCACATTATTCAGGAGCCAAGTATTCAAGAAATCATACAAATAGTTTTATTGGATTCTTCACCAAGGATTAGAGTTTTTTTTTTCACAGTATTAATACTTGATTGAATGAAAAGGTTTTAAAAAAATGTTTTATTGAAAAAGTTTCAAGATTTGGCGATATTTTAAAACTTCTTTTTGTTTGAAAATATAATAAATACATTTGGAAATGTCCAGGCTTTTCGGAGTATAGACTTTACTTCACAATGGAAACATGATTCAGGTTTTCAGATCAATACACTGGTCCAGATTATTAACGTTTCCAGCCTTCCAGGTATGATGTTTCAGGTTTTAGACGTATTAAATATTTGTGTGTAAATTGCTGAAGATTAAAGCTAAACCGATCTAGTTATTGACCCCAAGGAAGGTTTCTGGCTAGTCGAAGTGAATAAATTTTGCCTAGAAAAAATGTCAAAATTTATCCGTTTTGAAAATGCACCAATTAAAACTGAAAAATCCGCAAAAAAATTGAGAGAGTAAAAATTGCAAATTTCAGAGGTTCAGTGCTAAAATTCTGTGCGAAGCGCCCTAGAAGCCTTGTCAATATGCATCACGAGAAAACATGATTTAACAAGGACGACTTTACCATTCCCCTGGTCTTGAGTTATCGTCCCTACGACAAGGGTGTTAGGGAGGGGGGGGGNTGGGATGGGGAAAAAAGAGAAAAATATGACATCTCAAGGCAATTTCATTTTTTCCTACTTTTTTATCAAAACAAAAATTTATCTTCCACAATTCAGCGAAAAAAACATATAACCTTGAATAACAAATGGAGACAAAAATATTTTCCAAAAAGAGGGGCGGGCGGGGAATTATTTTCATTGGAAAATTTGCACCCCTGCACTAGGAGTAGCACGTTAAACCTTACCCTGGTCTTGAGTATTCGTCCCTAGGAGTAGCACGTTTCGTCTCTACCGTCTTGTTGTCTAGGTTGTGTGGACGAGCAGCCTGAATTTAAACAAGAATTAGATTTTTTAGATTGTATAATTGGATTTTTAAAGAAAATCACCCCGGGGCCCCTTTCATATAAAGAAATATCACGAGAGTCCGCCTTTTTCTTCTCAAATTTTCAACTTAAATTTCTTGTATCTTTGATACTTTTCCTAAAAGTTTAATTATTTTTGGAAGATGCAAAGCATAAACCTACAAAAAATGACTTGCCATTTTGGATTAACATTTAGGGGGGGGGGGGGTGATTTCTCACGGATATATTTTCCCTTACAAATTCCAAAGCTGAGGGGAAATATTGAAAATATAAAGTATAAGGATGTTATAATGATTTCCCCATCAAACTCAAATTACAAATTTTTTATAATTTCATATGGGAAGGAAGTAAAGAAAAGGACCAAAAAGAAGAATCTAAAGGGCACACATGTTTTCCGGATAGTGCATAAATTAAAGGTTCTGTAAGCGTAATTTTAAGTGACTTACCATGCAAAGTGGGCATTGCCAGATTCACACTGGTGTACCCTTTTCACCCTTTACACATTTGACTGATCATCGTAGACAAAGTGTATTTTTTTTTTAAACGTGTACAGATCCATAAAATTAGTACGCTAGCGTACTTTGTGAATTCAACGCACCTGGAGTCATATTAATTCCTGGAATATCCAGAACATTCTACATTTTTTTTGAAAATTCGAATCGAATGAGAACATTTATATCCAGCCACTTCTAGAAAGTATTGTTAATATTCGTTTTTTTAAAGTGCCTTTATTCTTAAACTAAATGTCGTCTTGTCTTTTCCTGCGCTTTCCTTAGGATTCCCTGTTTTCAAAACATATTCTATATTTGACGTAACTTTAAACTTGTTTTTTTTTTATTTTCAATTTTCAGGGTGGCCAAAACTTTTTTGAACAAATCCGTACATTTTCAGAAGAAATCCGTACAATCCGTACAATTTTCGAAAAAAAATCCGTGCAATCCGTACAATTTTTTTTTTAAATCCGTACAATCCGTACATTTTTTAAAACCAATCCGTACATTTTTTTTTAAATCTGTACAATCAGTACAATTTTCGAAAAAAATCCCATTTTTGAAAAAAAAAACATTAAAATTCAATTTTTCATTCATTGTCCTTTGTGTTCAGTTCATGTAAGAGGGTTTAAACTTCTTAATACTGGATACAGGATACAGGATATTGAACTTAATACGGGATACAGGATACTGGATACTGAGTATATGATACTGGGTACATAATTCTTGGTACATGATACTGGGTACATGATACTGGGTTCATGATACTGGGTACAGGATACTGGGTACAGGATACTGGGTACAGGATACTGGGTACAGGATACTGGAACATCTTCTTTAATAAGCAATCAAATGAACACTTCTGGGACATATCTCTCGAAAATTATGAATGAGTTTTGATTGTCAATTGAAACATTAATCAATATAATATTATTTAGAATGCAGAAAATAAGTTAAACTAACTTTATTTTGACGAGAATTTTTTTTTGATTTTCATGAAAAATTTTCTGAAATGAGTGAAAATTTAAAAAAAACGGTGTATTTTCCAGGATAAAAATCCGTACAATCCGTACAATTTGAAAACAAATCCGTAAAATCCGTACAATTTTAGGGTTAAAAAAAAACAATCCGTACAATCCGTACAATCCTTACATTTTGGCCACCCTGAATTTTAAGAAACCCAAAAAAATCAAGATTATGAATTCGGAAAAAAAAAACCAAAAGAACACCCTGAAAATTAGTTTTGAATCTACAAAATTGTCAATTTTTTTACTAGAAAAAATGTAGACATTTTTGGAAATTTCTTTTAAAGATCTAAATAACTAAAACATGAAAAGTAAAGTTTAGAAGATAATTAAATAATTATGAATTACCAAAGTTTTTTAGATTTTCATGTCTTACAGGTCACCCTGTACAAAAAAATTAAAAATTTAATTGAATATCGTTTATTCATGGGTACTTCTCTAATAGTTAATGGTCTCGTCACTAATGGGTTAATATTAAACAGCTTGCAAACAATTTGTTCAAGAACTAGAAGTCTTTATTGATTGATAAGGAACAGTCCACCATCCTTGATCAAAGGTCTGGTATGGTATATCTCTTTTTATATGGAAGTTCACTTGAAATGACGCTTACAGTTCCTTTAAAAAGAGTATATTTGTATACCTGACATGCGTCCACCTCCTCTAGAGAGGAATATTCTACAAACCCGAATCCTCGAGACCTAACAATCAATTAATTAAATATAATCAATCAATCAAAATGCATTCGATCCTGACAATTTTAAGTAAAATGAGTTTCATTTTTTTTTAAATGTCTCGTCCATGATTTTCAATATGTCTTGATAACCCGGCGTTAACATGGTTTTATCACTCAAACATAAAAATCTACATTAGTAATTCCTTAAATGAAATGGTACCATTTAACAACAGATTATATATTTTTTTACACTTAAGAGGTTCAAGTTAAATCTTATCCTAAATCCTAATTTCGTGTTAAATAGGTCCATTCTTCATAAATTTACTAAATAACATTAATTACACCACCAAACAGCCTTATATAAGGGGAAAAGGAGTAGGGTCTTCAGGAACGTGATCAAAGATCTATTTTTTTTACATCGTCATAAAATACAAACACAAAGATTCTATGAAGTATTTTTTCACTTGCATTTCTTCAACTTTAAAATGGATAATGAAAAAATAAACTAGTTTCGGCGAGATTTTAGATAAAAATGGCTTCTTTGTTTATCTTTCATTTAGGAAAAATATTCATTTTTCAAATTCCAATGGAGGGGGGGGGGAGTAATACTCAAGTTCCATAAAACCCTACTGGTGCCTACCCCCCACCTAACTCACCTCTGATTGTCTGGGAATTTCATAACAACGCAATCTACTAGTGTCCCGTATTGTTCAAAATGTTGTTTAAGAGTTTCATCAGTAGTTGTATAATTGATCCCTCCTACAAAAACTTTCCTAAGCGATTTAGGCTCCGAGAACTTATTCTTATGTCTCTCATTGTCCTAAATATTTAAAGAATCCTAAATCTTAGAAGAGCCTAAATTGTTTGGATCCTAAATTAATTCTTTAAAAACGCCCCCCTATTATCGTAGTCTTAATTCCATTGATGGTTTTAATTTTGTAAATGGAAACCAAAAAGAAATAAAATCTATACATACCCCCATTTTATATCCTAGTGCTGCCTAAATTATCTGAAAATATTAATGAATAATTGTATATTTCAATGATATTAAGGTCGGATTAGGTTAGTATGATTTGAGGGTCGAGTGCTGCGGCTAGGAATCAGATATAATTACATTGCACGCTTATTTAAACATGAAACAATGTTTATTTATTATTATTTCAGGGTTAGGTTAGGTGTTAGAACAATTCCTGGGCCGAGCGCTGCGGCTAGGACAGGCTAAGGACCATTGAGCGCTACTGCTAGAACAGGCTTGGGGCCGGGCGCTGTGGCTACATGAACACCTTTATCCATGTGTTAAATATGAGATGCATGTACAATATTGATAGAGGGGGGGGGTCTGGTGGGGTCCAAAAATCGTTTCCCAGGAAATTACCAAGTGGTGTTTTGAGTCTCAAGTCTCATTGACCAACTAAAACCTGTTTTAGATGTAGAGTCTTACAGGGTAAATATAATAATTCTTCAACTGAACCAATTTCTGCCAAATTTTGACAAAATTGAATGAAAATCAATTAACACCATATTCACTTTAAAACCAAGTAACGTAACAGCTAATGGAAATATTACTAAATGCTAGCGAATAAATAGTACTTTATTCACCATACAGACACTAGTGAATTTCTACTTTCTGTCAACCGCCATCTTTGAAATTGAAAATGCAGGAGAGGAGAGGAGTGGGAGCCGGCTGGAACAGGGATACCAAACATACAATTTTTCTCTTTTTAATTTTATAATAAATCATTTTCAACTCAAAATTTAATTTGCATAAATGTTAATACTACTATGAAAAACTTTTACAGGATGCTGTCGATAAATAATACAGTTTTTAGTTTAAAAAATGGTAACCCTGAGGAAAGTGTACACTTAATTGGCAGCGGCCAATGGCAATCTAAGTTATTCGCAAATGCCGCAATGAATTATTCGACAGAAAGAGTGCCAGTTCTAGCCGCGGCGCTCGGCCCCCTAGCCTGTCCTAGAGTCAGCGCGCGGCCTAGAAAGTGGTTAAACCTAAGCTTACCCTAAAATATAAACTAATCTAATCCCTCTCTTCTTATGATTCATTGCGGCATTCGCGAGTAGTAGAGCTTGGCCGCTACCAAATTCATACGGCCGGCCGGTACCACCGGTACAGTTCGGGAATCTTCCGAAATTTAGACAACAGATTATTTGAGTTATTAATAAGAAATGAGAATTTAAAAAAAAACCTTAATCCTGTGGCGGCTTTCGATGTAAAGGTGACTTGAATTTAGAAATTAATCACGAATGTGTAGAATTTTGTTTTGCAACCCGTAGAAGATTTTGTGCCCCTACCCAACAAACAAAACACAGGTTTTCAACGAGATTAGCATTACGGAGATCTGGTTGATAATTCACGTGATTAATTCACGTACCCTCCTTGTGTTATTTTTTTTGTATATGGAATAAATCTTCAGTTGTTCAATTCTAAGCTTAGAATATCAATTTTTAACAATGTGCCTAAAAATTTACATTTTGCGTAAAACTTGCGGTTTTGCGCAAAAACTTGCGGTTTTGCGCAAATTGCGCAAAACTAAAATTTCGTTTCATGCGCAACTTTCGCAAAAAATATTTCCGGTTTTGCGCAAATTGCGCAAAAAAAATAGCGCAAAACCGCGCAAAACTCATTGCGTTTCATGCGCAAAAATAGCGCAAAAGTTCGCAAAAATAAAATTTGCGCAAAAATAGCGCAAATTTTGCGCAAAAGATTTAGCCATTTCGTGAAAATCCTAAAATAAACCAAATAATCTTGTGTTCTTCACGGGTTTTTGTTTGTTGGGTATGATCCCCCAATTTAAAACAGGCCTATTTTGTTTTAAAAAATGATTAGTTTTTTATATCTATATAACTATAGTTAAGAACCTCGTACCTTAAATACTTAATTAGACTTTGCTTGGTAAAGAACATTATATATTTGTTGATTTAATTGCCACAAAATCAAGATTATAATCCCTATTTGTGCAACAAAATGTCTCAGATCTTTGATATTTCAAACTATGAATTCTGTTGGACCAAAAAGACTGAGTTTGAATTATCAAATGTTTGCAGGCGCCTAGTGGAAGGGCCGGGGGGCGCGGTACCCCTGTGCCCGGATCATAGACATGCACCCCCTGGCCCCCCCCCCCCTAGAGCCAGAGGCAGGCTCTAATTTATTAAACAGTTTACAGTACTTAAATATATTAAGCTTTTTTCTTTTCTTATTAATCGACGATGTCACAATTTGTCCATTTTATGATTATTTCTAAAATTCTTTCTTATTTACAATATTTTTTTCGCGGGGTTTCATTTAAAATGATTGGTAATTATGGTTAGATGACTAATAGTCCGCCTTCAGGTAGATTGATATAGATTTTAAACTTTATTTTTTCTTAATACCGGTTTTTTAGGGTGTAGGCGCACCAAATTTTTTTTGCCATTCTTGCACGCGCTAAAATGCGCTCCCACCTTGGCTAAACCTCCACTATGCGCCTGCGTTTACACCATCTGGTTTCAAAGTAAAGAGATTAGAAAGTTTAAATTTGTGGCAAAAAAAAATTCCTTTATCTCAAAAATAATCCCCCCCCCCCCAGAAATTAGATATGTGGGGATTGCAGAAGTCCTTAATGAGTAATCACCACCACCCAAACATGTTTTGGGGCATGGGCGCTCCTCAATTTGTAATCTCCACCACCTCACACCGTAGTTTCAGTAAAAGTAAATATTTCCATTTACTGCAGATAGCACCCATAGAAGGATTCATAACTCTGATTGGATAATGAGATAGATAGTAAGATAGATGTTACCGCCAAACTATTTCTATTGGTTCAGAATATACATCAAACACATGACTGAACCCTGATTGGATGAGGCTCTAATGGACTCGGCATACAGGAGTGCTCGACATGGCATCTGTATTGACTCAAACTAAATTTTCAATTTGTTTTCAAATATGGTCAATATGGTCTTATTTCTAAGAAATAAACAATTTAATGATACAGTTTTTTCCTGATTACAAATTGAGGTGGTGGAGATTACCAATTGAGGAGCGCGCATGCCGCAAAACACGTTGGGTAGCGGTGATTACTCATTGAGGACTTCTGCACTCCCCCCCCCCTCATTAGATATGTTTGCGCAGCTAGCAGCAAAAACAATCAAAGGGTTTACTTTGCTGAATTTTTTGTACGAAATATGAAGTAAATAGAAAGGATAAAAACATGCCATGGTTCGATCAAAAAAAAATTTCCTACATGTTTAAGGGTTAAGTTAGCGCGGAATATCAAAATAATTTTTAGGATTTTGAATCCTGAATATTTTGAAAAAAAGAATTTAAATGGATGACAATAACTTGCCTTTGATAAGCATTTTTTTACCACTAAAAATATTTTTTTCTTTCCAGAAATTAAGTATGTTTGCGTAGAGCTCCATAAACTCCTTTTAGCGTTATAAATTCTGAACTTTTGTTTAAAATATTAAAATAACTATTTTGACACTGTTATTTGGTTCGCAGTTTTATAAAGTTTTTGGAGAAATTTTCTCTTTATCGAGATATAGAGAAAATTTAAATCCAAAAACTTTATAAGCACGTAGTGCCAAAATAATAGTGTTATAGGTAATTTTATGAAACGTTTGTGTCCTCTTTCAATGGCTATTTCTTCTAGAAATAGCCATAGAATAGAAAGAAAGCAAAAGTCAAAATATAAAGTAGATTTCAATATTATTTTCATTTCATCGAAAAAAAACATATTTTGAAAATATCCTAAATTTTTTGGAAAAAATCCGGGAACCAATCAAAACTTTATAGCACACGTGCTATAATGTACAACTAATTTAACTTTATAGCATGATGATTACTTTATATAGCACGTTCATTATGAAATTCACGATGAAGTGAGGAAGAATGACAAAGTACACATTATAGTTTCATAAAAAGATGAAATAACTTGCCTTTTAATGTCAAATATTTGGTTTTTTGCTATATCTGGATTCGGGTTTATGGCTCCCTGGGTCCGGATCTTCATTACATTAAGTGCAAAATATACATGAGAAATTCTTTTTAGTATTAATTCAAATTAATTTGAAGAAAAAAATGAAAAATTGTTCAGTAAATATTTACATATAATCCTCGTGGACCATAAAATGATGAGTATATATAGAAATAATACAAACTAAAGAAATTTTACCTTTATAAAGTTAAACCATAATTTTAAAGGAAATTTGACCTTTATAAAGTTAAACCATAATTTTAAAGGAAATTTCTCTCCCAAAAATATCTGCACAATTAGACACTAATTGGAGTCTTAAATCAAGGACAGTCTATAATTGCTAATAAATGTACAGGGTGAGTTAAAAAAAACCCGGATAGTAAACAATTAGTACTTTTTTGTTGATTTTTACTGCAAGGTTTGGTGCAGATTTGCAGATTTTTTTATATCTATTATTTAATTACTTATAGCTATATTTTTATGAAGTTGTGAAATAGAAACGAATACACATTTTTCAATCAATTCCGAAAAAAAAAATTTTTTGGATTTGTTTTTTTGATTTTTCTATGTCTATTTTAGCTATTTTTTGTTAACTACATTTGAATAGTTTTCAGCATTAAACATCAAGGAAGGGCGTATACAGAATTAATTTTAGGGGGGGGGGGCGAAATTTTTTTAATTTTCTTCAATCTTGAGTTTAATATTTGAAAAGTGTGAAAGCTCTGAGTTCTAGAGAGCTACGCCCCCCTTTATAGGTCTAAGGAGGGCACTGCCCCCCCCCTTGTATACGCCCTTGTTATAAACATGAACCGTAAAAAACATTGTGGCGCTTATACCGTTATTTCACTCTGCTGTTCGACCCTTAAAAAGTTGTCTATAGGAGAAAAAAAACTTTTTAATCTATAGGTATTTCTAATACCGAGCTCGCTTTCCCCCAAGAAAAGTGCTTGTTGCTTCACTATTTTCCTCAAAAAAAAGAGGGCACAATAGCCAAACTTAGCTGAAACTTCAGTAAGCCCCCCTTTTCCAATGGGCAAAAACACAAATCCCAGATGTTTTATTAACTCTCGGCATAAAAATATGCCAAAAAGAAGAGAAAATGTTGAAAATTTTTAGCTTGTACACAAAAATCAGTAAATCTTGAAAAATCTTTAGGATAACGAAATATAGTAAGTTGCAGTATAATATTGGTTGCATAAAATCTAGTCATTTAAACTTTTCTAATGATGAGCTAGAATGTACATTGTACAATGCTAAAGTTAAACCCTAAGTAAGCCATACATCGAAAGAATTTATCAAATGTCGTCTTGAAAATTTTATAATGGGTTTTATACTATTTTACGTAAATCTCAGGTTATAGCCCTGAATATGCGGGAACTAAATATCTTCAACATTCCATTATCAGAAAGTGAAGAATACGACATTTGATGAATTCTTTCGATGTATGGGTTATTTAGGGTTTAATTTATAGATTAAATTAATATTCGACATGAATTTCGTTAAAACTAAAATTCAAAGAGCTCTCAAGAAATTTTTGCCACGATCTTGAAGAATGCTGCAAAGCGCCAAATTTTTTATATTCCTTTCTAACAGCTGCTGGTGCTTTATAGCCTATAAAGGGAGTGGGAACAAAACACGTAAAAACATACACCTAAATTCAAAACAATTAAATTCAAAACGTTAAAATGTTTAAGGGCCAAAGCTCTAAAAGTCTTAACAGTTAACTCCGAACAAGTCAGAACGGCTAATGTTCACTCAAAATTACAAAATACTTCATTTTATTTAAGGATAAAAAACCATAAATAATATTTAATGGTAAAACCCGTAAACTTTGTACTTTTGAATTCTTACAATCTGAAAGCATTATTAAAATTGAACAACTAAAGTATCATCACCTTATTTTGAAAACATCTAAATGTCATGAAACGACAAATATATTAAAAATTTTAATTTTGAATAAAATACATCATTGAAATAAAATTTTTCTTGTCTCTTTTCAGGGGCGGATACAGGATTTAAGTGAGGGGGGGCAAGATTTTTTAGGAACAAATAAACTAATAATTAGGAACCAAAAATCGTGCCGCAGGCGAAATTTTTTTTTGACCTAAAAGACTCAAAAAGAGTCAAAATTAATGACTAAAGACTAAGAAACTAGATTTTTAACTTTAAGGAACAAAATTAACGGATTAGAACAGGAATTTAAGAACAATTAAAAGATTGTTCAGGAATTAGGAACAAAAATAAAGGATTAGAACAGGAATTTAGGAACAATAAAAAGATTGTTCAGGAATTAGGAAAAAAAATAAAGGATTAGGACAGGAATTTAGGAACAATAAAAAGATTGTTCAGGAATTAGGAACAAAAATAATGGATTAGGACAGGGATTTAAGTTGGGTCGGAAACAGTATTAGGAACAGGAACAATAATAGGAACATTAGCAATTTAAAAACAAAAAGAAATTACTAGTTATACTTAAATGCATCAAAATTAGGACGAATATTACAATTTTGATAAATGAGTATTGATTAAGGAACATTACTAGAAATGAACAATATTATAACTTAAGTCTAGTTTCTTACAAATTTCTAATTCTAAATTTATCGTTAACAATAACATTTACTTGTTGTCGTTGATTTTTAAATTAAACTGAAGAAAAGATAGTCAAGATTTCCATTAAATTATAAAAAAAGCTTGAAATTGAAAAACACATTCGATTTATAAAATTGGGAACATTTTTTGCCTCGAAATCCCTGAATCTGTCAGGGGGTGGCGAATGTCCCCCCGCCGGCGCCACCCCCCTGTATCCGCCCCTGTCTCTTTTTATTTTACCCAAAAATGTTTCAAATAGTATTTAGTATGTAGTGTACTATAACCAATTACTTGTTTCAACTAAAGGTATAAGAATCAAGCTTGTTCTAGATCTAAAATGTACATGTCAGACATACAAAAGATGTACTTGTGCAGTCTAGTAGGGTAAACTCGAAGGTCAAATATTAAGTATATCTAGATAGATTGTAAATATCAAAACCGGGTTTCAGGCCCCCATTTCATATACACACGTGACATAAACAGGTTTTTCAGTGCCCAGGCCTCCTCGCGATCTAATACAGGTTTAGTCCGTAGTATTGTTTTCTTCATATTTTTGCACAATATCTTGTTTCTGTTGTTCTCGAAGAACCAAATTTCTAGGTGTATATTTAGGCAGACATAAAATAATTTTATCAACAATTATTTAAACCTTTTAGTTTTTAACACTGTTTTTACAACTCGATGAGCTATAATAAAAACAAATAAAATTATTGAAAATGCACAAATTGTATTTTTTGACCCAATGTTGTTATTGTCCGATAGATCTGATTATTATCTACAAATCAGGTTTAGTTAAGAACCATGGAGAAAAGAAATTATACTTTGGACATAGTCCAGCCATGTTTTCTAAGGAATTAAGTTTTTGCCACAACTTTCTCGTTTCTGTATTTTTACATCCTTGATATTTAAAACTTAGATTATTTGATCTAACAGAATACATAGTTTGAAATAGCTAAGGTATCTTTGGGTTGCAAAGATAATGGGATTAGAAAATAAATCATAGTTTGTTAGTTATCAATATTGCATTGTTAATTTGGAGCTTAATCTCATCAACATTTAACGAAATCAGATATAAACTAATAAAACATGTATTGGAGCTCAGAATTATTCAATTTTGAGCTGAAACTCTTTTACTGTCTATTGTTAGTTTATAGAGCTCAATATCATTAACATTTGGTGATAATTGATTTGAGCTATTTTTCAATCATTCACTCAAGTTAATAAATAACAAAAATTATAAATCATAAACTATTCATTAAAATTAATCAAAAAATCGAGCTCATCAACATTGAACTGTCAAACTAATCTGGTTGGACATTCATCAGAGCCAATCAATTTTTCTTTGATTTTTGAATTCTAATTAAATATTTGTGTTGTGACAGTAAGTGGGTGAGAGAAGGGGAAGGGTGGATTCATTAGTCTGGAAACCCTATTCGTGATAACATATATTCAAGTTCTTATATTGAAGGTATAGTCAAACACCAAATTAGTGCTAGGCAGGGGGGGGGGGGATACCGGGTAATCATAAGACTTTTAAACCAGGTTCTTGGGATTTTCTACTTTTTATCAAATATTTATAACGAAGACGATTATATTATATAAAAGTACAAAATTCATATTTTATTGTAATCATATACAGCAATAACCAGCTTAATAACAGTTATAAATTAAAAAGTCCGTCGCAACATTTCTTTTAGAAAGATTTAGTCATTTGAATTTTATTTACACAAGACATTGTTGCGTATTTTCATTGTTAAACGCATATGTAGTGTAGAATAGAGTAGATATATATGTTAAACGCACATGTAGTGTAGAATAGTGTAGAATCAAGGTAAAATCAAAGAAATTGAACACTTGCCTAAACTCTCAATTTTTAACTGCTTTATATTTTATATTTTCAGAAACCTTATTTGCGACCTTTGATATCTTAAACTTTTAATTCTGCTAGATCTAATAAAAGTTCTAAAAATCAATTTTTTTGCTCATTATTCTACAGTGTTTAGTGAAAAAAGATCTTTTTAACTTGGGAATGTTTTTTAATCGATTGACTTTAACACCAACAGTTTTTTTCCTTTTTTTCTTCATTTGGCCAGATAAATAAATGTATTTCTTAATATTAAAGTTGTTCAAATTCTTAATATTTCTTAATACATTTAAAATGACCTCGGTATATAATTTGAATCACTGGATATATATTTAGAATGAACGGACATATATTTAGAATCACCAAATATATATTTAGATTGACTGGATATATATTTAGAATGACCGGATATATGTTTAGAATGACCGAACATTTATTTAGAATCACCAAATATATATTTAGATTGACTGGATATATATTTAGAATGACCGGATGTATATTTAGAATCACCAAATATATATTTAGATTGACTGGATATATATTTAGAATAACCGGATATATGTTTAGAATGACCGGATATATATTTAGAATGAATGGACATATATTTAGAATCACCAAATATATATTTAGAATGGCCGGATATATATTTAGAATGGCCGGATATATATTTGGATTGACTGGATATATATTTAGAATGACCGGATATATGTTTAGAATGACCGGATATTTATTTAGAATCACCAAATATATATTTAGATTGACTGGATATATATTTAGAATGACCGGATATATGTTTAGAATGACCGGATATATATTTAGAATGACCGGATATGTATTTAGAATGACCGGATATATATTTAGAATGACCGGATATGTATTTAGAATGACCGGATATATATTTAGAATGACCGGATATATGTTTAGAATGACCGGATATATGGCCCCGCCAACCATCTCTAACGATCTATGCAGGAAAGTTGTAAATACAAACGCAGCTCCTCAGGCTATCGGGCCATATAACCAGGTTGGAAAAAGACAGTTTTTATAACTCTTATAGTTGTGAACTTGTGTTTATGTTCTTAGACCAATCTTAAGATTAATGAAACCTGTTTTTTACTTGAATAATTAGAATTAAGGATACGAGTCAATTTTGCATATTATCCATATATTTAGATTTGGAAAACATATATATATATATTTGATGCTTTGTTTAAAAGAATATAATTTTAATTGAAAACTCTACAAATTAGATTAATTCAAAATAAAATATCGTTTGAAAAAAACATCTAGAAAAACTGGTTTTATCTTAGAAAGCTATATACATATATGTACATTGTACATTGTACAGGGTATCCTAGTAAACAGAACTCTGTATGTATCTGGACAACTGGGCTTAGATAGATCTCTAAATATTGTTCCTGGAGGGATTGAAGCAGAAACTAAACAGGTGGTTTTCTTCATTTTTAATCTTTACTTTGAATTCTGGATTTTTCCGGATTTTATTTTCTTCCTTTTTTTAGTTTTTGATTCTTAAATTGGTTTTATTTTGTTTCCCACATGCTACTTTTGAATCCTTAATCTTTTCTTAAAAGTTTTTTATTGTGTTCATGTTCAATTCTGTTTTCTTTACTTCAATTTTTATCAATTATGAATTGTATATATTGTATAAGATATGTTTTTCAATTCTAAATTATTGAATTGTATATATTATAAAGATATGTTTTCAATTCTAAATTGTTGAATTGTATATATTGTAAAAGATATGTTTTCAATTCTAAATTGTCGAATTGTATATATTGTATAAGATATTTTTTTTAATTCTAAATTGTTGAATTGTATATATTGTATAAGATATGTTTTTCAATTCTAAATTGTTGAATTTTACATATTGTATAAGATATCTTTTTCAATTTTAAATTGTTGAATTGTATAGATATGTTTTTCAATTATAAATTGTTGAATTGTATATATTGTGTAAGATATGTTTTTCAATTCTAAATTGTTGAATTGTATATATTGTAAAAGATATATTTTCAATTCTAAATTGTTGAATTGTATATATTGTATAAGATATGTTTTTCAATTCTAAATTGGTGAATTGTATATATTGTATTAGATATGTTTTTCAATTCTAAATTGTTGAATTGTATATATTGTATAAGATATGTTTTTCAATTCTAAATTGTTGAATTGGATATATTGTATAAGATATGTTTTTCAATTCTAAATTGTTGAATTGTATATATCATATTAGATATGTTTTTCAATTCTAAATTGTTGAATTGTATATATTGTATAAGATATGTTTTTCAATTATAAATTGTTGAATTGTATATATTGTATAAGATATGTTTTTCAATTCTAAATTGTTGAATTGTATATATCATATAAGATAGAGATTAGATAGAGCATAATATAGTTTTATATTTGGAATACCACTTCCTCTTTACGACTGGGTTGAGTGGAGAAGTTTACCAACATTGCAATAAATTCTTTCAATGCACCCCCCCCCCTCATATTCCATCCCATCTCTTTCTGTCAATTTTCCCCATTTAATCTCACTACTCCTCCACTTCTTTCCTTCCCTCCACAGGAAAACTTCTTAATATACGGAAACAAACGATTTAGAATTTTTGTTTTATTTGATAAAAAAGCTTACTTATAGACAATGTCAATTTCTTTGAATATTTCAGGCTTTGGACAACATTGGACATATTCTCAATGCAGCACACAGCAGGAAAGGGGATGAACTTTTTTTGCATTGTTAAGAAAGCTTAAGATTTAAATTCTATTGATTATCTTTTAATTCATAAATAGCTGGCAGCTTTGAGGGTTCTTCCCGTCCCACTATCTAGTGAAAAGCGCAGCTTTCTTTTTACTGTTTCTTATTCCTCCAAATACTTCCCCCCTGTACATTTTTAAACACCTAGAGACTTTAGGGTTCGCAGATTTTTTTTTGTTCTCATTGGGGGATTTCCAAAATCTTTAGAAGTTATATTTTTTATGGGGGCAACATTTACTGGGTCATGTGAGGTCCATTAGTTCGCAGTTTTTTACCATTTATCTCTTTCAGACAAAAGTAAATTCAAATGACATAAATTTAAAAGCAATATATTGTTCATATTTTTGTTTTTGTTTTGTTTACTTCCTTATTCTGACCATGTTTAGATACTATTGCTCTGAACATGTCCAATTATGTGTCACCATGAAGTAAGCAATTTTCTTGATAAAATACAGATTCTGACGAGAAAATACAATTTTCTTGAAAACATTGCTTAAGTTGTTGTTCAAGGATATTTATAGTTAAGATAAGGAGGGGGTGAGGGGAGGCAGTAAACAAGAGACGTTGAAGGAAGCATGGATTTAAAACATATGCAAGGAATATTAAGTTCCTGGAATACATTTGTTTGTGATATGTATGTGTTGAATATCTGGATTAGAATTTACAGCGACTATTTCATCGAGAGACAACCAGCCAGAGCTGCATTTCAGGTCAGCTTAATCCTTGGTTTAATCCTTGGCTTGATCTATGATTTAATCCTTGTTTCAATCCTTGGTTTAATCCTTGGATTAATCCAGGGGTTATCCTTGATTCAATTCATTGTTTAATCCATTGCTTAATCTGTAGCTTTATCCATTGTTTAATCTGTAGATTAATCTATGGTTCAATCCATGGTTAATCCACTGTTCTTACATTGACTTAATCCATATTTTGATTTATGATTCTAACCTTGGTTTAATGCAGGATTTAATCCATGGTTTAATCCACGATTTGATCCAAGACTTATCCTTGGTACAATCCATATTTTGATCTATGGTCAACCCTTGATTTGATCCTCAACCTTTTTAAAAAGATTAATGATATGAAAACTGGCAAAATACAGTATTTCTATATCCTAGGTTGGTGCCCTACCTAAGAATGGATGTGTAGAAATAGAAGTGATTGCTCTTGTCGGTAATTATCATAATACAAATATAATATGTCGTCGTTGTTCCAAATACAATTGTAGAACACTTGTCAATTAAACGATATTTTTTTCAGGGGCTGTTGACGTAGGATCAGTGTTTGTAAACAACACTCGGTTATAAAATCAACAATAGACACAACACAGTGTAGAATATTGTAAAGAACAAGATTGTTATCCATGAAGGTTAAAAATTGTTAATTTTTTCTTATACACTGCTTTATATACATACCTTTTTTATTAGGGAAACAACACTTTTATTCTTATTATCACTGTGTGTTAATTATTTGTCCTTTATTATCAAGAATTGTAATTTTGTGATTGATAAAAACGTGTTCGTTACAATCAATTTGAAATCAATATTATTCAATATTTAATTTTACAATACATTTAATTTTTGTACTTCAATATTTTTGTTACAACAAGAAGATTATAACTAATATGTGTATAATGAATAAATGTCTTTTAGAATTATTGTTCAAACATTTCAGTTTTTTTAGAATACATAAATACTAAACAGCTTCATTTTTAATAAAGAAATGTGTGTTACAATTTTCTTTTTCTTTCTTGTACATATCGTCGATACGTAGATCCTATCATGTATCTATTATATATCTGAGTGTTCATCTATCTGTTTATCCATCTATTTTATCTGTCTGTTAATTTGTCTATTTTATCTGTCTGTTAATTTGTCTATTTTATCTGTCTGTTAATTTATCTATTTTATCTGTCTGTTAATTTGTCTATTTTATCTGTCTGTTAACTTGTCTAGTCTGTTAATTTTTCTATTTTATCTCTCTGTTAATTTGTCTGTTTTATCTGTCTGTTTAATAATCTATAATCTATTCTTCTTTCTGTTTATCTATTCATCTGTATACTCTATCTGAGTGTGTATCTATATTTTGTATCTGTTTGTTCATCTATACTCTGTCTATCTATGCGTTCTATATAATCTATCTATCTATTCATCTATATAATCTATATCTGTCTGTTCATCTATACAATCGTTCTGTCTGTTCATCCCTATATAATCTATATCTGTCTTTTCATCTATATAATCTATATCTGTCTGTTCATCTATATAATCTATATCTGTCTGTTCATATATATAATCTATATCTGTCTGTTCATCTATATAATCTATCTGTCTGTTCATCTATATAATCTATCTGTCCGTTTACACATCTATTTCCGTGTCTGTACTGTGTGTGATCCCATTTGAATTCAGAACTATGAACTGAGGTTTAACACCAAATTATTGGAAGTACGTTCATTTTAGCATATATGTCATTTTCATATTTATGGTGGGGGGGGGTGGTTATTTTGTTTTATTGTGATGAAAGACTTGAATTTAATAACTGTAGGGTACATAAATTCCAAAACAGGTTTATGGCCCGTTTCTAACAAGTACGAAAATCAAATTAAGAATTATCAACACATCATATTATTATATTTTGTACATGTAAGTGTACATGTCCTCATTGTACAACACATAAGATGACATCCGTAAAGTTTGTTATTCAATTAGTTTTTCTAAACAAGTTTATCATCATTCGTGAATATGCAACAAGGCTTCATTTTTTCTGTAATATACTGTAGCAGGAAAGTGATGTGTTGATCTTTCCTGCGATCATAAATGGTATTTTTTCCCTCCTTCCATCATTTCCAGTTTCTCCCCCCACCCCTTTTTCCATCCCTCCTTAAATCTAACGGATTTATTCCTGTTTGTGTTTGAATTCTATAAATAACCCAAGCCACGCGGAGAAACCGAAGCCAAGCGCCAAGTTCCGTTATTCCAGAAACCCGGGGGCTGGTGGGCTAGCCGGCCAGCTCACGGGGTACTAGGGTTAAATGCTAGCCCAGGGTGGAGCGAAATCTGGGGAAAAAGACCAGCTCCCTTTACTAGAGGTTCCCTTGAAGATTCCCCATCACTCTGAAACTGCTTCAATTCATAATATCCTATTAGTATAGTATCATCCTTTTAGTTTTTATATCTTTGTAAATAATAAACTGTAAGAAAAACCGACTCGTTGAATATTAATAATACGAGTGATTGCCTTGATTCATTTTTCTTTCATATGTAATAATACTACTCTGGAACCCAGATATGCCTGGAACCAAATATTTGCTATAAAAATCAACCGTACTCAACTTAGAAGTTTTAAATAAATCTGAGAGCTTTTCCTCGGGATCTACCGAATACCAAATTAAAATTCCTGAGTTATGATCAGACATATAAACAGACAAACAGAGATTACTGTCTAATATATATTAAATTAAGGAAATATTATGATTGCCTTAAAATGCTTTTACAAAAAAGCAAGGCTCTCATACGTAATATTCTGTATATTTTCAAGCACGCTATATTCTGTATGGTTACAAGGACACTCTATTCTGTAATTACATGTACTCTGTATTCTTTATATTTACAAGGACTCTTTATTCTGCATATTTCCAAGGACACTATATTCTGTATGTTTACAAGAACTCCATATTCTGTATATTAATAGGGACACTATTTTCTGTATATTTACAAGAACTCCATATTCTGTATATTTATAGGGACGCTATATTCTGTATATTTACAGGGACGCATATATTCTGTATATTTACAAGGATCGCTATATTCTGTATATTTACAAGGACGCAATATTCTGTATATTTACAAAGACGTTATATTCTGTTTATATTGAAGGACGCAATATTCTGTATATTTACAAGGACGCTTTATTCTGCATATTTCCAAGGACACTATATTCTGTATGTTTACAAGAAATCCATATTCTGTATATTAATAGGGACACTATATTCTGTATATTTACAAGAACTCCATATTCTGTATATTTATAGGGACGCTATATTCTGTATATTTACAGGGACGCAATATTCTGTATATTTAAAAGACGTTATATTCTGTTTATATTGAAGGACGCAATATTCTGTATATTTACAAGGACGCTATATTCTGTTCATATTAAAGGACGCAATATTATGTATATTTACAAGGACACGTATTTTTGTATATTTACAAGGACGCTATATTCTAGATATTTTGAGTGACGCGATATTGAGTATATATTTACAAGGACGCTATATTCGGTTTATATTTAAGGAAGCTATATTCTGTATATTTACAAGGACGCTATTTTATGTATATTTACAAGGACACGTATTTTTGTATATTTACAAGGACGCTATATTCGGTATATATTTACGGAAGCTATATTCTGTATATTTACAAGGACGCTATATTCTATATATTTTGAGTGACGCGATATTGAGTATATATTTACAAGGACGCTATATTCGGTTTATATTTAAGGAAGCTATATTCTGTATATACAGAATGACGCTATTTTATGTATATTTACAAGGACGTCGGCAGAATCCTGAATTTATTGAGATGAGAAATGACCAAGTTGACAGATATTCTGAAATATGGAGTTTTCAACATTGAACCAGAGATATTCTCAGAGATAAGTTAAGAATATATTATGAAAAGAAATATTCAGAACTATGTTCATTCAGCTTAAGGGTTCTTTCCTACCAGGAACTGTAGAAGCAACGCGCCACTAGGGTTTAACAATTTTTGATACCCACCTTGCTTTATTAAATTTTTCAATTAATCTCCCAGACTTAAATATCTAAAAGGTTTGCACCATCAAGGGAGAATACTTAGTGCTTAGATGATTAGCGTTTAAGATGATTGTTCAGGTTTTCCGTGAACTTTTTTTTAGGGGTGGGGATGCAAATAAAGGATTTGTATGGCACAAAGTGAATAATTTCGTTTTAAGGATTGATAAGGAGTTTGTCCAGCCGTACATAGTTGTTTTAAAAATTGTAAATTCATACCATGAAAGTGTTTTTTTTTTTCAATTTTGTATATATTCAATATTATCTTTTTTGAAATGTGTAAATAAATGTATAAAGTTTGTGACAAACTCTTGTAATTAAATAGTTTTAAACTATTTGGCTCAATCCTTCAGAAATAAAATTTTCAATTTTTTACCCTAGGAAAAAATTTTAATTGAAAAACTGTGAAAGCTACAGTAAATAAATTAACAATAAATTGTTTTTACTCTCGACAGTGATTTCTTTTATCTTTTATCAAACTTGTCAAAGATTTTACTTTACTCTTGAACAGAAAAATAGAGAAAATATGTTTATATATATATATATATATATGCTTAAATAAAATTACCCAAAAAATCAACAACTTAAAGTTAATCGTTTAATCTTAAATCCAAGATGGACAACAAAAAAGTTGCTTAGTCTAGTCCTTTCAGAAAAAAAAATTAACACAATGAGATATTCAAAATATATAATACTAAAAAGTTGCTTAGTCTAGTCCTTTCAGAAAAATAAAATTAACACTATGAGATATTTAAATTATATAATACTAAAAAGTTTTCATAGCTTGAGCTAAAAACTGACAAGTCCCGTATTCAAAAGCTTGTCGTTGTGCATTCTATGTTTTTAAATTTTATCTCAAAAGTATATGAATCTGCATTTTTTCTTCTAGGTCCTCTGGATATATTCTCGTTGAGTGGTTCAGTAGATGAATATAAACATTAATGTTTACTTCCGTACACTTACCTCACTATACAAACATAAACAACTGAAAAGAAAAAAAACATTTATTCTTTTTATGATAAAAATGACCTGAATTACATTTGGTTTATTTACTATTCTTAAAGGGAAAAACACAGCATTTTCAAGAATTAAAGATCATAGAAATTTATTTATGGACGAAGTAATGTAATACTTAAAGCATAGTGTTGATGTAATATTTAGAGTATGATCAGATACTAAAAACCCTTCACCCCTCTCTCTGAATCTGAGCGGAGTAGAGAACCTGGAGAATAGGATTAGTGCACCAAGGAAGCTTATGCAGGATAGTTGTTAGAGCTAAAGCTCTGTTTATCCAAGTAAGGCCTTGGGAGACCTACATCTACATCTGGAGCTACAATACTCACCGCATCTGATACAGGTGAAGCAATAAAACAAGCAAAGTCTTCTAAAGCAATAGGACCTGACGGAATATCCAATCTTCTTCTCAAACACCTTGGCCCACTAGGACTTGAGTACCTAACTAATATTTTCAAGCTCTCACTACAAGACAGTATAATCCCTCAAATTCTATCATTATCCCTCTCCTTAAACCAGGAAAAGATCCTACTGAGTCCAAACCCTGTAGACCTGTTTCACTCCTATCCACTGCAGCAAAAATCTTAGAAAGATAAATCCTACCTGAACTCACAGAACACCTACCTATATTCCGAACTTCCAACATGGACTCTACTGTATCTTCTCTCAATGACCTTAATCAGGACATCACCAGAGGCTTAAACCAGAAAAAACCTGCTGATAGAACTGTTATTCTTCAAATTGCCCTCTCAAGCCTTGGACATGGTATCTCATGATAAACTCCTTAATGACCTCAACAAGTCTACTGTACCCTTCCCACCCTCCTTTGTAAAACGCTGGTTAAGCTGGTACTTGAAACCAAGGTGCTACCTCTTGAATTACAAAGCAAAATGATTATTTCCTGCTTCACCTCTATTTTTTTATTATTTATTTTTTTATAAATACAATTACATGAAGCAAAAAAAACTTAAACGGTAAACCATTCTAATTCTAAACCATTTATCAGTTTTGCATCATACTTGTTGCAATCTATTGTGTTTGATGTATATAGATTTAAAACATATGAGAGTTATTTAAATAATAATTAAAACTAATTCTTAACAGTTAATGATGTCTTGTCTTCCATTTACACAATTCAAAATTTCTTATTTTATTTTACAAGAAGGTGGGGGGAATATATTCTGGCCGGAGGGTTGCGTTTTTGTCAAGCAATAGACAAATTATGGGCAATGATGAACATGACATTTGCACAGGCTGATCCAATTAAAGTGCAGAAAGGATAGCACTAGTAAGTAAGGAAAAGTTAAGTAGGAGAATTTGAGAGAGAATTTTTACGGAGCCAGTGAACACAGAGAACAAATAAAAAGGAAAGGATAGATGGAAGAGAAAAACAAAAGACACAAAATCAATTCTGAAAAGGAAAAATTCCTTATTTCTTTCTTTTTGCTTTTTATGACTGACTGAGAAAAGGACAAAAGAACATAACTCAATTATGTTTGAAAATCCAGCTTTCTACAGTCATTGGCAAACCAAATAGTTAAGCCTAAGGAAAAATAGGCAGCAAGATCAGCCCGCATAATAAGTGTTCACTATGGTTTATAGGGTTACCCATGGTCAAGTTTTTTAAGACAATGGCGCAACACAAAACGTTGGGGTGTATGACTTTTAACTGATCTTGAGCAGAACAAAATAATAGAAAGACTTTGATAACAAACTAGAAATAGATTTATTGATATTTCGTTTTTATTTGAATGCGTAAGCTTGTGCCCACAACCATTATCCAAAAATAAATTATTAAAGTTAAAAACATAGCAAAATGATCTCTGAACAATACTTTGCATCAACCCCCCTACCTGATCAACCTGGCAATAATCACCTACTCAGACCTCAATCCCCTCATCAAATGAAATTACAAAAATCTATGAACATTTACACAGACGAAGTTACTCACAGATTCATAGAACAGGAACCAACCAAACAAGAATATAAAAGAGTCCTCAAATATATACACGCAGAAGCAGTCAAGAAGAATATTTAACAATACATTACAAATCATGTTATAGGCCAAAAGTATAACCCCCCTCCTTCTATCAATCCCGATGAAATTAAACTCACAAGAATCACCAGATCAAGACTCTCCCGGCTCAGGAGCGGCTGCTAAAGACTACTTAACTCTTACCTTAACCAATTAGATGATGAAATTGAAAATAAATGTCCCAAATGTCAAACCTCACCTCATGATACAAACTGCCTGTTTAATTGTCAAGCAAACCCATCCAGCCTTCCCACTACCAGCCTATGGACCCACCCCATCAAAGCCTCTAATTTCCTTGGACTGGAAGAAATCAAAGATCCTGACTCAGAATGAAGCTACTACAACATTATGCATCCTTCAGTTTGTGGAACTGGACCAATTGCTCTTGTACCAGCCCATCTAAACTACCAATAAGAATACAGAGGAGAACTAGGAAATCCATGAGATACAGAGGAGATCTAGGAGATCCAAGATACCTGGAGCGGCTAGAAGATCCAGTCAGAGCCGGCGATTTAAAAACTTTGGCTCAAGCCAAAATTTCTTAAACCCAACTTTAAGACCCGATCTTTGACCTAACTCTAACGACAGCTTGTGTCATGTAATTGAAAGCTGTAAGATTTTTGGCTCCATTAAGGAGTTAGGCCCAAAGAAAATAAAACCGACCTTGGTTGGTTTTAGTGGAGAATAAGGCTTATTGTTGAGTCTTATTCTCATCAAAACCTGGAATGCGCCAATTCCTTCCATGAAAATCCACCAAATGGAATATTAGACCAAAATTTTTTAATCACGGGCTCAGGAGCGGAAGCTATACCTGATATTAGAGACGCCATGCTCTTGACAGACAGCTCTTCATTTATCCGTTATAGAAGCAGCTGGAGAACAAGATAATCTTGATATTGGAGATGCTGTTCTTGACAGACAGCTCTTCACATACCTGGAGCAGCTAGAAGATCTAGTCAGGTCTATGACTCCAGGAGCAGAAGCTGAATCTTATATTGGAGACGCTACTCTTGACAGACAGCTCTTCACATATCTGGAGAAGCTTGAATATCCAGTCAGACCTAGGACTCTAGGAGCAGAAGCTAAACCTGATATTGGAGACGCTGCCCTTTACAGACAGCTCTTAACATATCTGTTGTAGAAATAGCTGCAGAAGAACTAAGACTTCTAGGACACACAGGAGAGCTAGGACTTCCAGGACATATAGGAGAGCTAGGATATCCAGGGCAAACAAGTCCAACTACAGACATGCCAGTTCAACTATAGACCAAGATATATTATCCAGCTGATTCTATGAACAGAGCTACTTGAGACTTGGAGCTGATAGTGTTCGTAGCAGCAGAACCAGAGGATCCTCAGTATGGAGACACCGCTCATTGTAAAACAGCTCTTCACAAACCTGTTGTGATTCCATTAAAGGAAGCAGCTGAGACAGGAGACGCTCATCTTTACAGACAGCTTGTCACAGATCTGTTGTAGAAGCAGTTGAGAAACAAGAGGTCTTGATGCAGGGGAGGCTATTCTTTACAGACTGCTCTTCACAGACCAGTTGCAAGTCCAACAAAGGAGCAGCTGAGAATGCAATAGGAGTATCTCAGATTGTAAGAACAGGTAACATAGCAGAGACTCCTGGAACAGCTCCAGTAGTAAAGGAAGCAGCTGAGAACACAAGAGTATTTCAGATCGGAAGAACAGTTAAAGTAGCAG